CCTCTTTAATTCAAATAAGAAAAATTAATTGTTAGAGATAGATTTTGTAAGAATCGCGTTTGATAGTTTACTTTCTCGAATTTGCCCAAGAAATGATTGTATATTTTTTTTCTTTATTCTTTATAAAATGTTCCTAAATTTTGCATTTTTATTACAAAATGATAATCAATTTAATGAAAAAAATATTTGTAATATGTTCAAATTAAAATCGTTAATTTAATTTGTTGTATCTTAAATTAAAGTCATTTATTTTTTAAAATAGTAACATCTTTATTCAGTGCGCATATATTACAGTTATTCGTTTTATTCTATTACGATATTTGATCAGTATTTAGAGCAAATAATTTAAACTGCTCAGAAAGTACAATTGTTAAGGCGAAAGTATTTAAAAACTTTCTGTAATTTCATGTTAGGATTAATGGTTGTCAAACATTTTAAAAAAGGTTTTGTAATTTTCAAATCGTTTTAGCGTTTCACATGATTTTTTTTCTTTTATAAAATATGTATAACCCACATCTTCCTTGACATCTCAAAAATAAAAAAAATATATACCGCAAAAAAATTAACAAAATATTTGAAAAATCAAAAATTTTTCATCACTTTGCATTCTTGATCGTCAGCCGACAATATTTTTAACAAACGGCGATGACATGAAAAGCCCCTGAATTATTTAGTTTTCAAAATCAATAGTTCTAATAGCCTTTCGTTTATCGACAGCGACGATCTGAATTAAATAAAAATAAATTAAATTGTATAATTACGTTTTGGTTACGCAACATACGAATATTCATCTGCACTCTTTGAAGTGCGCTCAATGTATTGTTTGTCAATAAGATTTTCTATGCATTTCTTGATCATTCCAATTGATGGTGCAAAGGTAACTTTTGACTGTCCAAGAACCTGTTAGATAATTTTGGATACAAATCACTTAAAATATTGAAATATCGTTAGTTTCCAAAGATTAGAGAAAAAATTTCAAGTTAAATACCTCTTGCACCAGCTGATTATGTTTCAAAACCTTACGACTCTTCATTATGCGCACAATAGCAGCCTGCAAGTAAAGCTTGCGATCGTCGTCGACGCTACGATGAGTGGCCTCTGTATCGTGCGGCGCGTCCTTCTGCAGTGCTCCGGTAACGCGGAACTTTGTCCTCTTATTATAATAATCCAAGTTCAGAGTAAGAATCGTGTCTTCGTCAAGTTCACCTTCCAATGATTTTTTCAACAACTTGCAGTCCACGAGTGTGATAGCATGCTTAACTAGCTGATCATGGGACAGCCTTAAGGACGCAGCTGCTTCCTTGCATGAAATTGCGTCACAGTGCTCGAACAGCAGCAGTAGAGCCATCTGATACGTTTGTACGGTCACCAAGTAAGGCTTCTTCAGGTAGTTGAGCTTTAACTCACCTTGACACAGGTGATGCAACCACGTGAGTTTACGGCCGCTGAACTGGGCATGATAAAAGGATTCGAACGCTTGCACTGACTTTTCTAGCTGCTGAGGAACGTGAAACGGACCAGGTGACGGTGGCAACCCCAAGGGCCAGGCACCAGCTTGCAACACGTATACGCTGAAGCCAATGCCAAACTGATGGTGCTCGCCCTCGCGTTCACGCAAGCTCGTCGTGAACTTGGTATTCAAATCAGCGGAAACCGACATGTCCGTGAACATACGGTGCAATTTATTCGTAAATTCGTAACCGCACGCTTGCTTTAACCTGTCGATCATTGCTTCCTCCGCATCCATGGATTGCGATTGCTGGTGAATTAGTCGTTTGGCGAGCATTCGTGCATAAAATTTTTGGAACACATCTTTGTCATCAACGTACTTGAAAACGGTTATCGAGCGCGTAAGTTTCTCTTCAATTTCAGCCTCCGACGCAACCTTTGTTGATTTTTTTAACAGCGAATCGCAATATTTCGCTAGCTACAAAGAAAATTTGTTTGTAAAAATTTTTTCCCACAAGACAATTTTTCGTGTTAAAAAAAATAATTACTAATTCGGGGGCACGTGCTGGTTGTCGTGGCGCAGGCCTGTGATTAACAACAGCCGAGCACGCTTTGTCAAGAGCACCAATGAACGCCTGGTCTCCCTTGAACAAGTCTTTTATTAATTCCGAGTACTTGCTGTGTACATCCAACATACTTTCAACGAATTGCGTGTGAACCTGAATAAAAGCAAGATTTATAATGATTACTAGTCATAAAAGTTATAGAAATTACTTAACAAAATTAAACGCACGTTTTCGCCTTGCAAGGAACCAATTGCCTGCAATCCTTCGTTTGTTACGTGCGCGGTAAGTTTCTGTATAAGGTGAGACAAGCCTCCTGGCAGTGGCCTGAGTAACGGATAAATGAGCGCGAGATCTTTTCTTCTTTCGTGCTGGACCATTGCATCCACTTCTGTGTCCAGCCAAGTAACGTGGGCTGCAACCATTTTCTCCTCACAACACTGTCTTACCTTAGGCACCGATGTGATGTGAAGGAATCTGTGGGCTCTCAATTCTTCTTGAGCAAGGCGCCAAGTGACTTTTTCCATGTAATGAGTTACGTCTGACTGCTGTAAAAGTTCCGAAGCTTCCCTTGAATAGAAATCACCACTTCGTTTTAAGAAAGGACCTTCAAAAATTTCTTGATACAGCTAAACAAAAAAAGTTTGATTCATTAAAAAAAATCGACTCCTTAACATCTTTGCTGTAATTGGAGGTTTTTCATTTACATTCAGCTGATCCTTTAGCTTATATTCTTCGACTCTCACAAAACTCTGAATAACACCCCGAATGATGTTTGCTTGAATTGGTTGTGCTTCTCCTACTCTATCCGCATTTATTCCTTCCAGAAGTAACGTAACAAGGCAGTCTTTTAAGGATTCAATCATCTTTTTTTTCCAAATGTATAAACCTAATTCACCAATTTCCTTCTGTTCTTGACACTCTGGGGAATTGGTGGAAGATGTTCCATAAAAAATTTCGGCTTCATTCAGCCTTTGCTTTTTAATGTGTTGCTGATTGAAAAATAAATACAATTGGTGAAGGTAACTGATTCCCTGAGAGTATTCCTCCCAGGCTTGGTAATAGGCTTGCAGTAGGCCATTTTCCCCTTGCAACTTTACTTTAGCCAATAACTGAGTAACATGGTTGTCTAAAAATCTAGCTGTTTCATTGTACAGACGATCAGCTAGTGGTTCAGGATAAGCAACACACAGAGAATAAACATCACTGAAAAACAAGCAAGTTTTCATCACCACGTCCCACAAATAAACCATGAAACATAGAAAAGTCCTAGCTTACCTAAATCTATCGTTCCATATTGCCCTTGGAACATTAGCTAACGTTATCACACCTTTAACAGTCTCTTGCAAGACATTCCATGTCTGATGAAAGTCCACAACTTTGGGTTTGAGAGACATGTTTAAAATTTATTATTTCTAGCACCGTTGTCAATATACAAAAATCACTTTGTAAAATTGTAATATTAAATTCTATTAAAAATCTACCCCTAAAAACAAAGAAAAAAACAGAATGATAAAGCAGTAAAGAGTGAAGTATAAAGAAATCTTTGTTTAACTAAATTTAAAAATAAGCAGCTCTTCTTTGTACTATTATATATACATATTCAACTCCAAGCTGTTTTTAGCCACACATTGTGTTTGTTTGCAGTATGCATGAGACCTTCAACTTGTCAGATGACTAGCATTCTCTTATTAAAAAATGTTCTTGCTCACAGCAACGTAAAACCGAAAATCACTCGATTAATGTAAGAATGAAAAATGATCAAAAGAGCTGTTTATTTTTTAGTTAAGAATAAAAATTTGCTCAACGACCTCGACGACGTCGCTCTCCTAGAGAGTCTCAGTCTCAGGTCTCAGAAAGAGAGCCATACATATGATGTGTGTGTGTGTGTGTACATGTAAATACATGAGTATGTGTTTGCGCAACAACTAACCGATGGCAAATGGCAACAAACGCCAAAATAGAAATCCCAGAAGGTCAGAGAACTGCAATTATTAGGTAGTCGTCGTCCAGTAAAAGCCGTAGAAGAAAACTGCAAGCAGCAACAGTAGCAATGGAGCAGAAAAACGGGTAAACGTACACTTGAAATGAAAGCTATACACGTTCAACAATTTGAGTATAGCGGCAGAAGCAGCCTCCTAGGAGACGGACTGTTCTGGACCACTTATTTTTGGGATAACACGAGTCATTCCCTGCACTTGTCCACAGATGCATGACCACTTGTAATTGCTCGGCCCTCTCCTATCTTGTCTTCTGCTGCTTCTGCTGTTGTTGATGTTTCACCTCGACCTCTCTCACTCCTTTCTTTTCCACCCTTTTTCTCTCGTCAAGGTTATCGCACATACACTCCTATTCTCCTACATGCATACGAGAGAAGTGAAGTATACACCTTCTCTCTTTCCTCTTATACTTTCGGCGAACACTTAACCGAATAATTTTTATAGATACGAGTGAACAAAAGCAAGAATCAAAGAAAGAGGGAAAACGACGACGGCTCACTCTCTAATTGTATGCTATCAGATCACGTACTTCCACGTGCTCTTTTCTATTCTTCAACGCATAGCTTTTTTCAAACCTTTATTTAAGACATATCTTGATGTAGTACTTATATCTTCTTTTGTTTATATTGTAAGACTCCGATTTACATATGCATGTACACTACGGCGACTACCGCACGTTATATTATCACGGCTAAGTTAAATGCGAACTGAAGCGTCATCAGTCTGATGCAGCCAGATAACTGAGAGCTGAAGCCTTCTCTGATGTATGTGTCATAAATATGTGCGTACATGTCTGTATACATATAGGTATTTAACGTTCATTAAAAGCTTAATTTTCGCAAATATCCTAGCATTCTATTTAAGTTAGCTCTATTTATTTATTTATTTTTTCTGAGTCTTTGGTGGCGTTCGATTCAATTGCTCGCTGCAATCGATAATCGCCCTCGATCGATACATTGCGACTAGAGCGATTAATTATAATTCTTCACGTAGCCTGTTAACCTTATAATAATTATAAACAACTATAAACAACTATAAATTACAAAAAACCACTGAAACTGGCTAAACTGAAACGATGAAAGCACACCCACGCAATCATAAACTGCATTTGGTGACTTTGGGAAGTTGTGATGAACGATTTGCAAAATATCGAACAATCTAAATCAGACCTTTCGAGTTTTCGACTTTTGGGGTTTTTGGATCCTACGAAACGCGATGTATCGAAAAATAAAATTTTTTTTTTGATAATCCCTAATACAAAATAATTAAAAAGAGCAGTTTGGGGACTGCAATGTATAACATACAATCCAATCCTCTTTAATTCAAATTTCAACTACGTTTTATCAAATATATCACTAGAATAATCTGGACATTATTAACATCATTATTATTGCTCCTGTATTCATTTATCATTCGATTCTTGTTTGATTGCATTTTTGTCACTGTTATAAAAACACTAAGGCAAAGTTACTCGACAATTAATGGGTTGCAATTTTAGCATATAAGTAAGAGTTATCTGTACAAGCGTATATTTTAATAATGGCTGTATATGTTGGTATATATTCAAATTTTCATATATGCCACACTGGCCCAATGGGATCTTTTACCGCTTAATTGTAATATCTCTAGTCCACAAGATCTCTTATGTTTATATGTTGTATAATATTATCTCCATAGGTCTTCTACAAAGCAAGACATAAAAGAAATAAATATCACACATGTTTCTCCCTATTAATAAGTATATCTCTCACACGATACACGATACATTTTCTGCAAAAACAGGATAGTCTGGCAAAGCGAGATGAGATCACTGCTTGAAGCATTTTAAGAGCATTAATTGGATGGGGGGACTCAAAGGGGGGTCGGTTTTATACACACAACAGATTCTACCCTCTGTCGCTGTTACCAAAACTTGCCGCACAATCGGAACTTAAATTGGCAACTGGCGTTGGCGCTGTATGGGGCGGATGGATCTTTTTTTTTGCAATGACTTAATTGGATCAGCGTTGGGTTAGGCGGATTCAATATCGGAATATACCTATATGCATGTACGTTCCAAAGATTCACATATTTGCGTCGCTCGCGAAATCATTGGATCATGGAGTGTCACGGCAGAGGTCACGGAGACAAGATGCCGTTGAATAGCAGCAACAGCGATGGTGATTGCGTTGCCAATAAAATACAAAATTCCGTAACTCCGCGAGATGTTGCTCTTGTGGCGCAGCGTTTTACCGAGGACCCGTTGGTTCAAGTACTCAAGTACGACTTGGGGAATTACTCATCCCACAAACTGGGATTTTTGGGGAGCCACAGACAACTGACGGTTGAAATTAAGGTAAGCATTAAAAACGTACAATACCATTTAAAAACAAACGATAGGACAAAGTCAACAATCACTTCTTCCGATGTAGAGGAAGGATGAAAGTGACGTAGAAACGCTAAAGTTATTCGTGAAATCGGTACCCCACGACAGCGTGAAACAGGTTGAATTGATCAACGACTTGAAAGTTTTTGAAGAAGAGTACAATTTTTTCAACAACATCGTTCCACAGTTATTAAAACATTATGTAGGCGAGCAATTTGCGCCAACGTGTTATTTATCGAAGCCAGACTCTCTAATAATGGAAGATCTTAGACGTCAAAATTACCAATTGCGTGCAAACATTTTCGACTGCTATCAGGAGGTAAAATCGGTGCTCTCAACTTTGGCTCGATTTCACGCCTCTTCTATTATCGCCGAGGCCGAATTAACTCAATTGTCTAAGGTAGGAAATCGTTTGTTTGAATTATTTTATTTTTTTATTNCTTTCTGAAAATAGACGGAAAAACTATGGAAACATAGATACTGGAAAAATTTTTATTTAAATAAAATTTTTTTGATCTGCTTGACTACCCATATGAAACCGTTTGATCGAAATTTTTTATGATCTACTTGAATCTTACCTCAATACACTCTGTGTAAACTTTAAGCAAGGTGCTCTCATCTTTGGCTCGATTTCACGCCTCTTCTATTATCGCCGAGGCCGAATTAACTCAATTGTCTAAGGTAGGAAATCGTTTGTTTGAATTATTTTATTTATTTATTTATTTTTTTATTTCTCTATACACGATTCACGCAAATTATAATGGTTTTTTCATGTACCGATGGGTGGGGCTTAATTCCTTAATTGGGCCGCAGTCGCATATGGCTACGCTGTGTTACTGCGGCATATGCATACGCGTACATCTGCATTTTTGCGTACTAGCGTAGCCCACGAGAGACAACGTGTCTGTGAGAGAGAGAGAGAGAGAGAAAAGTATGCAGATTTGGTCTCACGCAGATCTCTTTCTCGCTCTTTCGGTGACTTGGGGATTAAGTATGCACGAATGTAAAAAAGTGCTATGGACAGACACGCGTAAAAACAATTTTTAAACAAGTTTATTGAGTATTGTATTATTGTATTTTTTCCCCCTTTTCAGAAACCTGTATCTTTGAAAGAGCACTATCCAGATCACTTGACAGAGAAGTTTTTCGACAAGGATTACGGTTTGTATGAATGGGTTCAAAATGGCATGAGTATCGTCTACCTCGTTGGTGAAAAATTAGGCCACGATCCTCAAAAATTGCGCAAAGGCTTTGAGAAACTTCAGGAGACAATTAAACCTTCAGAAGTCCACCGCAATGTTATTACACACAACGATCTCTGGACGAATAATATCATGTTCGACGACAGCAAACCAACGCCGAAATCTATACTCGTGGACTTCCAGATGATAAGGTATGGCCCTCAGGTCCTGGACGTTCTGGAGCTATTATATTTTCATACGTCTCGCGATTTCCGTAAGACCCACGAGAAGGAGTTGGTGCAGATTTATCAGTCAGTGGTGGAGGAAACGGTGAAAATGAGTAAAATGTCAGGGATAGCCAAGGTCTCGTCCTTACAGGAAACTGTTGCTGCGATGGATGATTTGAGAATATTTGGGCCTGGAATGGCTAGTGTGTACTTACCAGTGGTATTGATAGATCAAAAAACATTAAAAGACCTCACGAAAGAGTCCATTGATTCCATGACAGGAGATAGGATTGAATTGACTTTGGATTTAATGGAAAAAAATAAGCTGTATAAAGATCGAATCAAGGAATCTGTTGACGTATTAGCAACTATTTGCAATACATTGTAAGCTGATTGCCTTCGACTCTTGGTCCTTAAATTATATCTGGGAGGAAAAATAGTTTTTCCCGTTCTAGTTTTTATAAACTATTATCTTCTTTTGCACGGCTGCCAACCAGGAATGAGAGTCATAATTTTCCCACTACAGGGACCATCGCAACATCTTGTTGACATTGAAATTATTGTGATCACACGTCATATAAGTATTTGAGATTGAGAAATTTTTTACATTTTTTATTTAAAAGTAATTATTTTGTATGTATACTTATTACTATGTTTTCACTGTTTTTGTGCACGCGTCCATACGAAAATCACTATATATGTAATGACAGATGTACACACCTGTATGAAATATCCCATAATATACTTAATGTGATTGTCCAAAGTCCCCGAAGTGGTTGTACGAACATTACAAGGATTGAAAACCAAACGTATACTTAAGTAATATTTTATAATTTACGAATACCGCTGGGTGCATGACGTTGGAGGGAAAAGAGCTGTAGGTATCTAGATGTTCTATCCACTTGATGAATACTTTAACAATTGTATCTTGTGGGAAATGGGCTGTGGGCTGTGGGGCCTGAGGGTGTGAGGTGGGGGTCGATTCGCTAGTGAGGGCCACTTGAACTAATAAGATTTAACATTGCCCACATATATTATGGGCTTTGGGGGTAAGGTGAGGGCAGCACCAGTTATGCATCTGGCCCATCATGGGCGGACGCCCATCGCCCATGAACTTTCACTTTACCCTCTCATTTTACTAACCAAACTAATGAATTAAAAGACTTGTTTGTCTAAATAAAATCCCTTATTCCCAATCCTCATCAAGTGAAAGTATATTATACATTCGTCATGGATGCCATGATTCGATGAATTCATGATCCCGATTAAAAATTTAATGTGGCTGTAATGGGGACATAGCTAGGCTGCCATAATTAAGCCATAATAGCCCATTTAAGTTGTAGTTAGGTCCCTATTACAGCACTAACCTAACCTTAACTGGGAATCTTTACTGTCCCCGCAAATAAAACATTGCACTTTTCTTTCATAGTTTTCATACTTACCTATATATACCGCTACCGGTCTGTCGTTACAAATTCTCCCGCGCCATTCGCCAACAAGTTCTGTCTTGAGTGCTTCTATCTCGGCAGTGCACAACCACTTCATGAGTTTTGAAACGCGACGCAATCTAGTTGCTTTCATCATTCTCAAAAGTTTTCATCATTAAACGGTAAGTTTTAGAAGCCAACTGTTTTTTCACGGCCCTTCAGATGTCAACATCCATCCTCATCATGTGCTTTTTCTTCTAGCAACCAAGAAACATGGATTTCTTGGAGTATCCCGACATCACCGCTGAGGTTAAGGGTGCCATGGTGAGTTTACTTTTTGCTTCTTTCATTCAAATATTCTTGTCGATGCTTGTAAAATCCATCAAAGCTTTCTTGCTATTATTTTCTCTTACTTTTAAGTTATACTGAGAAGTAAGCATGACATACTTTATTGGAATTTACTATTTTTCTTCTAGAATTTATGTATTGCGCAATATATTTTTCTGTAACGTCGTTTTTGCTGTTTAAATACGTGAACTACGAATTTTTTAGACACCTGGAAGACTTAAGATGACGGACCAGGCTTTAATATTCAAGAATCAAAAAACTGGAAAGGTGGAGCAAATATCTGCATCTGACATGGAAATGGTCAATTATCAAAAGTTTGTTGGAACTTGGGGTCTACGAATATTCTTGAAAAACGGAACCCTCCACAGATTCAGAGGGTTCAAGGAGGGCGTAAGAATTTTAGATGAGTCATTATTTTCATTTGATTAATTTGTGTAAATTAAACATGGTGTTTTTGCTAGGACCAAGAAAAAATTGCCAAGTTTTTCAATAGTAACTACAAGAAAGACATGTTGGAAAAAGAACTGAGTTTGAAAGGTTGGAATTGGGGTACAGCTAAGTTTTATGGCTCAGTTTTGAGCTTTGATGTTGGCCACCACACTGCTTTTGAAATTCCTCTTTACAACGTGTCTCAGTGTACCACTGGAAAAAACGAAGTCACCCTTGAATTTCACCAGGCAAGCGCAACTGCACATTAATATTTTTTTTAGCCAAATAACTTTTTCTTTGCAAATTAGTTTTTGATATTTTTTTTTTTTTTATGATAAATGGTTGGGTTGTTTTGTAGAATGATGATGCTCCTGTAAGTTTACTAGAAATGAGATTCCACATTCCAGTTAGTGATAATAGTGACAAAGATTCTGTAGAGCAATTCCATAAAGAAGTAATGGAAAAAGCGTCAGTTATTAATGTTAGCGGAGAATCAGTAGCACAGTTTAAAGAAATACAATGTCTCACGCCTCGGTAAAGTCAATTCTCACATCCACTGTTTAGCAATTTTGACTGATTCTAAATTATTATTCAAATTTTTCAGTGGCCGTTACGACATAACAATCTTTCAAACATTCTTCCAACTTCATGGTAAAACTTTTGATTACAAAATTCCTATGTCTACAGTTCTTAGATTGTTCTTGTTGCCACACAAGGATAATAGACAAATGTTCTTTGTTGTAAGTCTTCTTTTACATACTTGAAAAAAGTTTTAGATATTTTGATAACTAATTTAATTAAATTATCTACTCCGATTTTAGGTAAGTTTGGACCCACCTATCAAACAAGGCCAAACTCGTTACCATTATTTAGTTTTACTTTTTAACCAAGACGATGTGGTAGAGATTGAGTTGCCATTTTCAGAGTAACAAAGTTTTCTCTATGTATTTAATAATGAAAATTGGTTTGTAAAATCAGTTGAGAATATTTTTAATTTTTTACAGAAAAGAACTATCAGAAAAGTACGAGGGTAAATTATCAAAAGAAATGAGTGGTCCAACTTATGAAGTTATGGGTAAAGTGATGAAAGTTATAATTAACAGAAAGCTAATTGGTCCTGGAAGCTTTCAGGGGTATAAAACAATATTATTTTAGACTTGAATAATAAATTTTTGTTTCATGCAATACATTACTTATCTGTTTTCAGAACTTCAAATACACCTGCAATTGGTTGTTCATACAAGGCAGCGGCAGGTTACCTGTATCCATTAGAAAGGGGATTTATGTATGTTCACAAGCCTCCTATTCACATACGCTTTGATGAAATCAGTTCTGTCCACTTTGCTCGAAGCGACACTTCAACGAGATCGTTTGATTTTGAAATCGAATTATCAGCTGGTACAAAACACATTTTCAGTAGTATCGAAAAAGGAGAGTATGACAAACTTTTTGACTACATAAATACGAAGAAACTACGTATTAAGAATAGAGGCAAAGGCGTAAGTACAATTTTTACTAGTTTGTCTAGATAGTTTTTTAAAACTATTTCCAATTTTTAATGTCATGTCACGTTTAGGAGAAGTCAGGTTACAATGACGACTTTAGGGGCAGTGATGAAGAGGTTGAACCTGATGCATATTTGGCAAGGGTCAAGGCTGAGGCTCAGGAAAGGGATGAGGGTGGTGATGACGATGATGATGATGAGTCCACTGATGAAGATTTCAAGCCTGCAGCAGTTAGTGTTGAACATTTAAGTCAGATAGTCCAAACAGTTCTATTTAATTTGTCGTGTTTTTTTTTTGTTTTTCTTTCTCTAGAATGAAGAAAGTGACGTTGCTGAAGAATATGACAGTAATCCTAATGATACATCAGATAGCGATGATTCAGATGCATCAGGTGGTAGTGGCAAGAAAGAGAAAAAAGAAAAGAAAGAAAAAAAAGAGAAGAAGTCCAAGTCCGCTAAGACAGTCGTAAGTTGTTTTTTTGTATTATTTTTTTTTTAATTATATCAAGCTCAACATTGTATCAAACTTTTTTCGATACTTAATAGTCCGAAAAACCAAGGAAGCCTCGTAAGCTAAAGAAAGAAAGGGATGAAAACAAGCCCAAGAGACCAGCTAGTGGTTATATGTTATACTTGAATAGTGTACGGGAAGAAATTAAAGCCAAATATCCTGATTACAAAGTTACTGAAATAGCCAAAAAAGGTGGTGAGATGTGGAAAGAACTAAAGGACAAGTCTAAGTGGGAAGAAAAGGCTAACAAGTTAAAAGAAGAATATCAAGAAGCCATGAAAGAGTACAAAGCCAGTGGTGGTGGTGCTGCTGCTTCAAAGGAATCCAAGCCCAAGAGCAAGTCCGAAAAGAAGCCTACTAAGAAAAAGGAAGTGGTAAAGGAATCTCCAACGAAATCCGGATCATTCAAGAGTAAAGAGTATATCAGTGGTGACGACAGTAGCAGTGGTGAAGAGGATTCTGAAAAGGTATATCTTGAATATAAAGTTTAATAAATAGTAAAGTCGTAAACAACAAACTACGTTATTATTTTGATTACAGAAAAGTGAAAAACGAAAGCGCTCTTCCAGTGACGAAAGCGACAATAGTGACAAGGAAGAAAAAGAACAGTCTGTAAGTACTAAATTATTCCATAATTGGATTCAAATGGTCAAACTAAAACTTTTAAGATAAATATTATTTATATTTTTAGTCAAAAAAGACTAAAAAACCTAAGAAGGAATCAGAATCAGAGGCTAGCGCTGCAGAATCTAACGAAGAAGATAGCAGTGGTGCATCAGATAGCGACTAAAAATATGGTTATACACTGGATGTATACAACCAATAATTCGTCAGTTGCGGCGTTCTATTTGTGTATAAAGATTTTGCGTATGTTCAAAACGCCTTCATGTATATTTAAGATTTTACCAGTTCTAAGTAATTTAAATAATTCTTGGCATTAACATTTTTTCACGCAGTACCTTTTCATAATTATAGTTTTTTAATAGTACTAACAAGTTCAATAATTAAAATGTACCGTTTGTATTGAACGTTATACATATATGTATATTTTTTTTTTTTTTACATAATCGTCATAGTTTTGTACATTAAGTAGAAGTATCTACAATATGAAATAAAAACTAAAAAATATTTAAAAAATCATTTACAACTGAAAGCCTGAATATTGTAAGGCAGTCTTGAAACTAAGTCGTAACACCATTAACATCAAATGAAATACCACACGTCTATATTACACGCTTTCTCTCGAAATATTATTGCTTTGTAACTCAAGGACGTGAGTGCTTTTGTTAGAGCTGAACGAACAGCATATATATCACATATGCAGGAATTGATTGCAGAGGCTCAACTTTTGCAGCTTTGTCAGCTTGGAGGAACTTTTTCTTTCTCAGTACCCAAGTGATTGGCTTGTACATCATGCAATTCAATCTGTTGATCCTTCATTGCTTTCTGAAAATAGACGGAAAAACTATGGAAACATAGATACTGGAAAAATTTTTATTTAAATAAAATTTTTTTGATCTGCTTGACTACCCATATGAAACCGTTTGATCGAAATTTTTTATGATCTACTTGAATCTTACCTCAATACACTCTGTGTAAACTTTAAGCAAAGATGCACATGTGGAATCATTAGTGTCACCTTTAAGAAATCTTTCAGCAAACCAAGAATTGAAGCAATCATCATATGTTTTCTTAAGCTCTTTGCACTGTTCCATGATGCGATGGCTTACTAATTAACAAATAAAAATCTACTAAAAGTTAAATTACCTTGATACACTGTTGATAACTAGAGAACAGTGTGGCACACATGGAGTCATTTGTGTCACCTTTCAGGAATTTTTCAGAAAACCACACGTTAAAACAGTCGTCATATTGATTCTTGAACTCATTGCACACGCTGCCAAGGCTATTCATATGTTTCCTGCTATCACCCATTACTGAAAGAAGACATAAGACTCCAGTTGCACCACGTATATGTTAATGAAATCTTTAAAGTAAATATTTTAAAAAATAGAGAATTTATATGAAAGGTTATGTTCCTCTGTATGTATAAGGCAGACATTTGAAATCAATTTAATAAAACTCACCTTAACACGATATTATTACATACGATATGATGTGCAATATAGGTACGTCCGTCACAATATTATAATTAATTGCTCTTCAAATTAGGGAAAACTTTTTTTCCATTGACATTAGAATTTTCTTTTACTTCAAGTTTTTAAAAAAGTGACGCAACTGTATTTGTAAATCAGGTAAGTAATAATTGCCCGTAGGCTACCCAGGAAAGTAAGTGCTAAACACGGTGCTGAACTGTTAAACTGAGTGTTTCGGATTTTCAATCGAAAAGCGCTTCTGAGTGGAATAAGGCTGCCCTACTACTACCGTAGTATTATTACCAGGCTGCCGGGTCAGTAGAGTTAAAACTCTTCTATAAATTACTAAATTACTGATTTAAATGTTAAAATTAAACATGTTCAAAATCAATAAAAATCTTAAAATTAAAGAAGAAATGATTAACACAAAATTTCAAGACAGATTTTATTTTTTAATTCGTAAGCTTGTTAATAATGTTAATATCTACGCTAAGTAGATGGCGTTGATCTCGTTTTCTTTACAGAGTGTACCTGTGTACGTGTATTACTAAGATTAATACTTACACAGTTTTTACTTTTTTATGTAAGTTCTTAACCGAACACGTAATTACAAATGTAATCAATATTGATGTAAAACTTCCATTTTAATTGAAATGGCTATGTAACTTAAGTTAAAGCCAATAAAAATCATTCAATTCAATTCAGTTTCTCTATAACCGATGATCGATAAATCAGGCTGCATTGCACAGATTATTGTTGACAGCGAATATACTTAGCAGACGCTTTTCATTTGATGTTTTTTACTATATATACATAAATTTATTTTGACGTTTTGTATAGTTGATATGAAAGTTGAATGCATCAAAATATCGAATGCATGGATTTTATCTTATATGTATACATTCATAGCAGAGCGTTGCTCGAGAAGAATAAGATTACAAGACGCGATGAGAATATAATATCGACATTACTTACTTATGTAACGCAAAAAATAGTACCGTGTTTTTTCGCCTTTACTAATAAGTATAAGGTAGCAAAGAGTCCTTGATGCACAGCCAAGTGAATAAGACGTGCGTGTGTCTCGTCCGGTTGACATAATAATAGTAGCTTCGGCTTTTTATCCAAATGTTTATATTATATCCTCAAAAATAAAGTCTTCGTCGTGCACTGCAGTTCTGTATTTTCTTGAAATACATTTCTACTTATACTTAATAGTGCAACATCAGAGATTTGACAGCAATAAGTCGTCGTCCTCGACGTAAACAACACACATTCTGCAAACGAGAACAGCGATATATCACACACGATCATGGCAAAGTACGGAAGTCTTCGCTAATTGCGTAATCGCATTTTATCTATAATTTTATTAAAAACCATGCCGCTCTTGTTAGAAAAGATAACGATACTCTTGAGAGTTTATGAGATATACTATTTGAGTGTACGTATTTAATGCATATTCAAGTGTTACACTGATGGAAAAGAGCGTCTACTTACAGGCTAGACACTCTTATTTTAGATTATGTTATTTCAGTTGTCTTTAGTAGCTCATAACGATGATGAGATGTACCTACTATGTTGCTTTCTTTTCACCTTATAATTAGTCTTGGTTCACTGCTGTTGTTTGAATGTCCTTTTTTAACCGACTGATTATTTCGTCAAGATAATGACGATTGCAAGATTACGTGAGTTTTTTACCCACGTCGATTTCGTGTATTGTTCTGTTCTGGCTGTCAATCCTGGTACACGTTATTATAATATTCAAGATTACTAATCTTAAATATTTTTCATCGACATGCTAAAAGTATGAACACTTTGCTTGCAGCTTCTAATATCAATTTTTTTTTTAACTCATTAGTTTTGTTTGGTAAATATTTCAACTAAGCAGAAATCAATTCCATTTACACTATCTAGCTTGTCAGTTTTATTTATGCTCTAATTTTGCAACAACGCAACTTGGCTTTGTTTTTCATTGCAAGATATGAAGAGAGTTGACAAAATCAAGCTGCTGGAGAAACTTGAATACTCGTACATTAAATGAAAATACCTACATCGTGACGTTAAATTTAAATTTATTAAATATAGTTAACAAAACGTACAAGTCTTTTAATTATTTATTCAATGGAAAGTAGCAGTATATGTAGTTCAATGATCTTGATATTTTTTATATTCTTGTCTATTGTATCTCAATCCAAGCAATTCTTACTTCAACAAACTTAAACGTCAGTGAAAAAACGAAAATACATGTAAACATTGCTAGCACAGAGTAGCTCAAGAGATTACATCAAATGTTCTTATCAGTGTACTAAGCCTTATCAGTATTGACGATTGTTGATTGGTCATTCCTGAACCCCACTTTAATTGTTGGCTACTTTTCACGTAAATCACAAACTGATTAATTGTTTGACGCAAGTTGTATTTTATTTTCTATATAAGTACTTAAATAATGTTAGAATCGATAAAATTGTATCGATTTATGTTTGTTTGTATTTTATTATTGATTGCTACAAACAATTGAGGTGAATTCAGTCAAAATAACTACTAACACATTTTAAGAATATGTACTATGAAGCAATATTTTGTTTAATATAATAAAATTTCATTTATTTATATACACTTAGGTAAACAGTATATATTAAACTACGTCATGTTGTGTATTATTTTTCCAGAGAAATGATGATAGTTTTCGTCTATGACACCACAATGTGTTGTAAAGATGAAGATGATCCAGTTTTAGATCCAGCTGATGCTGTTATATATTTTCACCCAGCCTGGGTTTCACCGACACAGAGATTAGCCTTGGCTGGTCAATTGATGGGCGTCAATCAGTTTTTGTCCACATCATTTTCATCTCCATCCATAATATCGTTGCAAGGAGGCAAATTCGTTCTCAAAAAATTTGGATCTTATATACTTGTAAGTCTATGTAAATTTTGTTTCCCTATTATCATGAACAAAAGAAAAAAAAAATTAGTTTATTGAACTAATTTTCAGGCAGTGGGTACTGATAGAAATATACAAGACTGGATTCTGGAGCGACGCGCGGACGTTTTGGAATCGCTTCTCAAATTCTTCCACTGTGATTTCGAGACGATCTTGTCATCTCTCAATAACGAAAGAAATAAATTTACCGAAAAGTTGTATCAGATATTTGAAACGTATCTGCCGATATTGCAGTATAGTGCCAGCCTTTTCTCCAATCTTCCAATGCTAAAGCTTCCAAGGGTACATTCTATCATTTTTTTTTTTTTTTCTTGATTTACATACGATTATGCATCCATGTAGCTAATGTCAACTCTATCTGTTTCATTCTAGAATGCAAGCAATGTGTTTTTAGGAGCTATGCAAGTTCTTCAATTTTGCCAGGAAACAAATGGTATTGTTGGTGGCGCATTGTTTTATAATAACAAGTGAGTATTTTACTATTTTTTTGTCTATATCGCAATGACTGTTAGAATAAACAAATTATTCATTCAAAACTGCGTAACACCGTCATTACAACGTTTTCAGAGTTCTTGCATCACAATTAAGTCCTGAAATGACTAAACAACTAGTCATCACAGATCCTTATAGAATCAAGGTTGGCAGTTGTATTATATAAATTTTAATCAGCATTGGAAGTAATGTTGTGTAATTTTTACAAAACGACTTTTCAGGTCCCAGCTGATAACGTACCGACAAATTTTCACTTACCAGTAGGAGTGCAATTATTTCGCGTTTTTGTTAAACAACAAGAATTCTCAAAATTAATTCAAGAAGCAAACCTGGAACGTGGCTACAGTTCATCTGTCGACGTAGCACATAAAAAATCCATTCATAAAAAAGTAATATTTTCATTATATTTTCATTATAATATATTTTTTTTATATATCAAGTTATGAGAAATCGCCATTATGCATTTTTCAATAGAATCCAAAACCCGGCACGAAAGATCAGCCAGTTTCAATGATGAAGCGCGATACTTCCCGTATTTTTACTGTGCCTGAAGAAGCTGAATTGGACGCAACGCACTACAACCAGAACAATTGCATACTTCCTTTACATCACAATACCGCGTACAGCTCTCCGGTAAAGCGCAAACAACCAGAATCCAACAACCACGTAAACAAAATAGAACGTCCCAAGTACCAGCATCCGCTAACGCCGAGTGTCTGCTCGACTCCGCTAAAAGATGTAAATCGAGTGCTACATGGTTTTGCGGTGTCTATAGTCGCAGGTAGCGAAGAAGCTGATGCCAAGCTTACTGAGAACCATCAGCCTAGCCAAGACAAAGAAAACGATGCCAGTAGTCGAAACACAGGGCATCAGACAACGGTACAACAACAAAACCTTGATGACATTCCTGATGTTGTGAAAGAAGCATTACGCTGCAAGCGTTTGAATAAATTGCTAAACGCACCACCCAAAGAGAAACTGCTGATAAAAGCGAAAGATCGTAACTCTATGAGTCTTACCGATATTACGGAATCGTTAAAGAACAAACTCATGCTTAAGACGTACAGCTTTGGTCTACCGAAACTCAATAGCAGTTTTACCGTAGAGTATGACTCACCTAAAAAACAGAGACATCGGCGTCATTGCAACACTATAACCGATCCCTGTCATCCGGTTTTTCGAAACGACGGCTTACCGGTTTCTCAGTCCCTGTACGATGAATACGTTGAAAATCACTATCAGGAATTGAATCAAATATCCCAAACACCTGATTTTAGTTCTGAGACTTGGAAAAACTTTCCACCATTGAAAAATGACGTACCGGTAATAAAAAATGGCAACGGCGAGATTGTCCACAATCGAACCGAGCCAAAGCCAAATTTGACTTTGGATGTTAGATTGCAGGAGAAAAAAAGTAAACAGGAGAACTATCGACGATCTATGAGTCTTCCCCTAAAACCTCTGAATGCTTTGGACAATGATGATCGATGTAAACCAACTTCGGAGTGTAGTGGTATTTTTGAACTGCCACAGCGCAGAAAGCTCGACGGATTGCAGTTGACGCCACTCATGTCCAAACTGAGTCTTTTAGCTGACGAAAAAACGAGTGGTTTTTGCAGTAGAGAAACTACACCTAGTGAATTTCGAGATATTTCGACGTACTCGTTGGTTAATAATCAGTTGATTAAAACTAAACTGGATTCCGTAAGTAAAGAAGGATTGAGTGACAACGATGACGAGATCGATGAAGACTGGACGACGACAAAGGATGAAGGTAATTATGAGAAGGGCGAACTATTTCTCTGTGGACATCAGAATATGGTGATGTTTTTGCTGATGGAGGAAGGTACTGCCAACGATCCAGAGTTGATACATTATCTCGTAAGTTGTGTAGTTTTTCTTGAAATAAGAAACATTTTCAGTGGTGTATTTTTAGCATCAATTTTTTGTCCAAACCATTTTTTTTTTTTTTTTTCAGTGGAAAACATGTGTCAGCATTTTGGGCTGTTTAGAAGTAAGCTTGCAGCAGTGTTTAGAGCCACTACCTTCCAATGAAAACAAAGAATTGTATAGTGTGTTGAGCGTAGATTCCGAATGGGATACGATTCATAGATCTGGACTTTGGGGTGTGACAGAGCTCGATGTTGTCTCTTCTCTTCATGATAGATTCAAACGTAACAAGAACCTTACAGACATAGTTGTTAGGTAATTAAAATGCTATAATGTTTAAAATTATGTAAGTTTTAAACGGTAATTTTTTTCAATTTATCTTTTTCTTACAGAACAGATGACACAGTTGTTTATGGAAATCAGTGTGGAAATGTCGAGGTATTTTACCAACAAGCAGTGGCTTCGAGCACAGCTGGTGGTCTTCCAACTCCGGCTGACCTAATGGGAACAGTGCCACTAAAAGCTAAACGCAGACTGGAAAGGGATCACGGTATTATTATACTGTAAACAGGCAACACTTTCGAGGTAAATGTACACCGTATTTTACTGAAATAAAGACGTATTATTAGTCGTCAATTACTGACAAATTTATTTACGCACTCAGTGATAACTCGAAACAATTTGAAATTATTTTCAGTTTTTTTTTTTTTTTAATAAGTTTGGAATTTTTATTTGTTAAAAATAACTATAGGAATATATGTTTCGTACAACTTTGAATCTGTTAGTAGCATTTTAATAAATCGTGTGGTAGTTTTAATAATACAATCTATACGGAATTTGTTTTAAGCAAACTGATTGTAGTGTCTTTTAAAGTCACGCAAGTATAAGTTTTAATAGATTCGTTATGAACTTTGAGGAAAAATTTAATATTAATAGACAAAAAATTGTCCAAATGAGTTTATAAGTGTATTTTTATAAAAAAATAAATTTTCACTATTAATTAGAGTAAAGATTTTTAAGATTTGAAGAAGTGATGGCTGATATTATTGTTGTTAAAATCACTCTCATTAATAAAAGTATTTGGCTGTTCGTGTTTTTGTAAATTACCAAATATTTAAAAAATAATGTGATGATATCAAATAAGTCATGTGGCAGTTAAAAGTAAAGTACATAGTGCATATTTGTACTAAAATTTAACATTGCCAAATTTATTACTAAGATAATTCAGTAAACAAGGAGAAAAAAAATTTATAACATTTCATACAATGTGGACCATTATGAGAAAAAAAAAAAAAATTTCTTCTGTGATTTATTAAATATAACTTAACTTGCCAAATCAAAACATTCCATATTTACAAATCTTTTCAAACACCACTTATTGTCAGTGTTTTCACTACGGTAAGAAAAACGCATATTTTGTTATTATGCATACAAGTTGAGAAGCAAACACGTTCTCGTATTCTAAATAATCTACGTGTTAATATACTCACAGTAAACAAGTGCAATATGACTAAAAAATATTTTTGTTAACTCACCGCTTGCCACACGCATTCTCGTTTTATATTTTACCGTTGTATTTGTGAACTATTGTTTTGTATGTCAAAAAACTAAAAATTGTTAATTATTCATTGTCTTTGAAATATTATGCTCTGCTAAAAATCATTGTATAGAAGTAGACTAACTTGTAACATTCTATTGACGTTACCAACTAGAAAGGAGATACTAAATAAACATTAGATAGTAATGCAGAAATCATATCAACGGTCAATTGTATTTAATCATTACAAAAAAAAATTACATGATTTTTTAATGGAAATTGTAAATGATACGTTGAAAAAGAGAGCACATGTTTCATAAGTAAAAAAAAATTTGACTACAAAACAAACGCCAAATGCCTTATTTTATAAATATTTGTAAAATACTTGTAACCATTGAAAACGTTAAATGGCCCACGTATGTCTGGATTAGTTTTTTCAAGGAAATTTCATGTAATTTTTTATATATTAGTTGAAAAAGTTTGAAAAATCGAGAATACATGCGTACAAATATTACTTAATAAATAGTAAACTATGCAATTGTATTACTTAATTATATAACTGAGCGGTTGATAATTTTTTTTGTATTTTTTAAAACACGAGAAAGCACTGAATTAATTTTCGTATCATTTATTAATCGAAACGAAACGCCAATTATGTTTCGGCTTTTTGCTGTTTTTGTTTTAGCAATCAATTAGTATTAAATATCGCGTACCATAAATTTCTGTGTAAAGTAAATTTTACATCGTAACTGTATCGAGCACATTCAAGTGCTGGTCTCACTGCTGCAGTTGTCACAAAGTGCGTCATAAACATGTTTTTTTTTCCCTGCCAAGCGAATATGAATCATTTATTGATTATCATCTGTTCGCTTTCGCCATGTACATATACATACGCGTTACAAAGTCCTTCTAGTTATCGAATAAGTATATCCACGACAAAACGTTGTCAATCGTCTGCGAAAATTATATGTTTCGTCCATTTTAGGGAAAGTAAATTGTAAACTTCTCTCTTTTTTAAATTAAAAAAAAAAAAAAATTTATTTTCAAACCGCTCAGTATTACGAGCCAAGCGTGCGATTAGTTGCTTTATATATATTCCAGTATTTTGCAAATGGAAAAACAGCACTGCTAGATATTATTATATTGCATGTCATCGATTAGCGTCCAGGATAATTTGCAACGTCCTTTGATTCCATTCCATTTGTATGTACATGTAATTGTAATAAATCGCCTGATGCACTATGATTGCGCCGTCTATTGTTTTACCCTTTAACTCAACATTTAGCGAAAAAAAAAAAAAAAAATTTCCTTCCCCGTTATTGAGAATTTTCGCAAATTCCACAGTATCTCTCTTTTACAACAGAGAAGTTCATCAAATTAAATACTAAATATCTGCATTATTTTTGACGACTGTGGATCACCACCCAAGCCCAGCCCACGCATAAACTTGGAGAATCCATCGAGCGCTTTTGGGGCAGGTAAAAGTTACAACCGATACGTCTAATAAAGTGAATTCCACGGTAGACACCACGAGCCGAGCGCATATTTAAGCATGGATAAGCATGTGTGATAAATATATTACACCTGCACGAGCAAGCTGGGCGAGCCTCCCAGTTCGACGGGTTGATTATCACCTCGCGTGCATATATATACATGTATGTTAATCGAGAATCGCCGAGAGAGACAAACTTGTTGGGCGTGTAATCCGCTGGTAAGCATTTTTATCGAGGCGACAACTGGTTTACTCCCAGGTTTCAATGTTTTGCATCCGTGAACAGTTTCGGGGACTCGATTCGACGCTTCGAGAAGGCTCGGCTTCGACCACAATAATGTCACTCTTTGAATATTGGGTGTGATTTTTTGTAAAAAGACAAACTCTCGAGTCACGCGCGAATGTTTGTTTCTTTATTTTTTTTTTCATAAGTTTGGATTCATCACGAAATACCAATTTTATACGTATAGCTTCGGCTCACGATTCAGCGTAAAAAAGATCGAGCTGTAGAAAAATAGAAAATTAATTTTCGAGCCAACAACACGGCCACTTGGAGTGGTAAAGTAACAGCTTATTCGTCTGGCTTGCAAACACTCGGCAGCTTCGTATTTGAAATTTAAAATTCAATAATTATCATTGTATAGGTGAGTATAGTATATGTAGCGCGAGTCGAGCCTCCGGAGGGACATAACACACACACCACACAGGACGGCAACGCCGTGCCTCCCGGCCATATAGATTTCTTCAAACTGAGGGAAAAAAGTACCATCGAAAGAAAAAAAAAAAAAAAAAAAAAAAAAAAAAAAAAAGACGATATTAGTCGATTAATTTATTCGTTCTCGCGAGGACTCGTCGAGGCAGGTAAACAAGCCTCCACAGCTTGGCCAATACCGAGCTTATTTAAACGAGAAATCGGCATCGAGCTGCCGACACTTCACTACGATCACCACTCGCGGCCAGTCTCACTGACATATAAAGCTCTCTTTTCCTTCTTTTTATTCCCTTTTTCCTCTCTATTTTATTATTATTATTATTTTTTTTTTTCACCACTCCGTAGCCGTTTTCACGACGCACAATGGTAATTTTCGGTTTTTATTGCATTGTAAAAATTTATCTCGATATTAAAAAAAATGTGTAATAATTTTTTTCATCAAAGTCTCGCTTTTATTTTTGTTTAATACTCAATTCTACTTATTTGCAGACCACATACACAGACAAAGGGCCCAAGGTAATTTCCAGAAATTAATTTAATATACCAAACGAAAGTAATAAACTTTAAAAAAAAAAAAATAATAAATAAATAAAGAGATTTAATTAGTTTCGTGTGATTTTTAGCCAATCGGAGGAAAATTTCTGAGTTTCGATCACATTAGGTTTTGGGTCGGAAATGCAATGCAGGTGAGTGATGGTCAGTTTTATGTACAAAATTTATTTGATCACTTTGACATTGGTAATGCCGAGAATACACGAGACGTTGGCCCGGTATTGAAAAGTATTAGTGTTTTAGTGTCGCAAAGTATGGATTGACTTGAAAAAATATACCGAAAAGTTATACCGTTTGAAAATTTTGGAATAACTTTCAAAGTGAATATATAATTAAACCTTGGGAGAGTTTATAGGTACATCCGGTTGCTCGTTGCCTCAATATTTCATTATACCATCTATAGGATCCTAGAATATATATATTTTTTTTTTGTATTAAAAAAAAAAAAAGCGAGTGATTGAATGACAATGGCCCATTAACTTGACACAGGCGGCTAGTTACTACTGCGCGAGGATGGGGTTCGAGCCCCTGGGCTACCGTGGTCTGGAGACTGGCTCGAGGCGTGCAGCAGCACACGCTGTTAGACAAAATCAGGTAATGATAAACTAAAACATTTATACACTGCCAAGAAAACACAGACATCACTGTACCATGGGCGATTTTAATTTTTCCAGATTGTATTCGTATTTGAGTCAGCCTACGAGCCTGACGACGAGGAAATGGCGGGTCACCTTTCCAAGCACGGCGACGGCGTCCGCGACGTTGCCTTCAACGTCGAGGACATCGACGTCATCCTTAAGGTATTTTTTTTTTTCTTTTTTCATCACCGATAGAAACAATCGATTTTTGTGACTCGAGTTGATACATGTATGTTCTTGGACAGGTCGCGAACGACCGAGGCTGCAAAGTCGTGCGAGATTTGTGGGAAGAAAGAGACGAGTACGGCGTTGTCCGCTTTGCAACTGTACAGACTGTACGTGTTTAAACATATTTATCGTATTATTAGCATATCCACGTAGGTACTAGATTTTTTTTTTTTTTTTTCTTTTTTTTTCATCGTAGTATGGGGACACGCTGCACACGTTCGTCGACAGAAGCAAATACAAGGGATTCTTCTTGCCCGGCTTCCAAAAGGCTCGAGACGACGCAATCTCCAAACTTTTGTAAGTCCCAACGATTGCCGATTAAGGTGGGGAACAAAGATTCACAAAGACTTTTTCAGGCCACCCGTTAACTTGAAGTTCATCGATCACGTGGTTGGAAACCAGCCGGACAAGGAAATGGAGCCGGTAGCGAAATGGTAAACGTGTTTACTTTAGGAGCACAATTGATTTGGAGAGGCGCATCCTCACGGCTAACATGCAGGTCTTAATTTTTTGTTTTTTTATTGATAGGTACGAAAAGTACCTGCAGTTTCACAGGTTTTGGTCGGTCGACGACACGCAGCTGCACACCAAGTTTTCGGCGTTGCGCTCGATCGTCATGACGAATTGGGAGGAAACGGTAAAAGTGCCGATAAACGAGCCAGCCCCGGGTATGAGGCGCTCCCAAATACAAGAGTTCGTCGAGTACTACGGCGGCCCCGGCGTTCAGCACATTGCCCTCAACACCAGTGACATCATTACTGCCGTAAGTGTTTCGCCAAAGATACATATATATTTTTACGAGCTAGTTGATCCTTGCTTTAACTTCATCGTGACGAGATAACGTTACATGTTTGAAACAGATAACCAATTTGCGCGCAAGAGGAGTCGAGTTTTTGAGCGTACCGGACGCGTATTACGACGCGCTGCGGGAAAAACTCCAGTCCAGTAGAACCAAAGTCCTGGAGGATTTGGATGTTCTTCAGAAATTGAGGATCCTCATTGATTACGACGAGAACGGTTATTTACTTCAGATATTCACCAAAAACATGCAGGACAGACCGACTCTGTTCATTGAAGTTATTCAGAGAAGAAATCACAATGTACGTAACTTTTGTTTCGAAAAACTATGTCAATCTTGTAGTATTTAACAAGGGAATTTGGTATGCATACATCCGATAGTTCATACCTTGCCATTTTTTGTACGTAAGTATGATGCCCTAAAGTAGTACATACAAATCGCTCGCTTTGGATTTTTGGTGTACGTTTTCTCTATCAACTTTCAATTGAGTCTATTGAATTAATGGCAATCTGCAAATAACGTCTGTATATTCCGTCGTTTTTGAGATTAAATATACATAAGTTTGAAAATGATAAAAAAAAGGTGCAGTCGATAAGGTAGGAACTCTTACTCAGGCACTGAACAAAAAAATCCTATTTTTGAAAAAAATATGTTTATTAACTTTAAAATTTTTATAAACATAGCACTTTATTGACGTTCCCTTTTATTTCAGGGTTTTGGTGCCGGAAATTTCCAAGCACTGTTCGAAGCCATTGAAATGGAACAAGAAAAGAGAGGCAATTTGTAATTTCTTAGTGAACCTTATGAATATCATTAATAGGACGAACGAGAAGATCAATAAGATCGAGTATTAATTAGAAACCCTACTTGTTTAGGTTACGAAAATTCATTTTAAAAAAGTATTGTAAATAATAAAAAGTATGTTTAAAAAAAATTGTTTTCTCGAAAAACCTCGTAATATTTATTATCTGTTATTATTCTGTATTAAGAGAGCCTCTTTCACATAAAATTTTTTATTACTCGTAAATAATGTCGTTCTTTGTGTAATTATCAGCAAAAATTTATTAGAGTAACGTTATAAGAAACCTTCTAACTAATATAAAAACTTGTTGAAACCAACGAGGCTCGTTCATTATTTAACTTTTTTATTCTTAAATCCTCTTTTCTCTTATACTTAAGCAGTTTTATATAAAAACAGTTGATGCCTGAGTAACGGTAGACATTATGAGTACTCAGCGGTGACAAAAAACTTTTTGTTTAAAAATTTATTTTCAATGAAAAATTAGACAATTAAACCTCTTTCTTTAATCACGCCTTCTTACATACACTATTATTGATTGTGGATGCATAGACGAAAAACATCGTGTTGTAAGTAGAACGAAGTTCCTAGTGGCTTAAGCACAAAAGTCTGCATGAAGGCATGTGGTTCATCGTCATCAGTCTGAAACAAGAATTAAAATACATTTTTTTTTGATTTACAATAAATTTTCTTTATAAACGAGTCAGCTTTATTTATCTATACTGGGGTAAACAAGAAAAAAAAATACTATTATCAATTTAAATAAATCAAATAAGAAATAAATAAAAATAAGATGAAGTAACTATGTCTTAATAGGTAGCAATTAACAGTTCAACTATGTCTCATCATACAATTTGCTTTCACAAAAACATTTTAGTAATGCAACAAGTTAGTATATTATAAGTAGTTAATTGATAATTTAGACATAAAAGCAGGTTATACCATAATTTCATACATGTAATCAGCAACTGCAGAACACTAATGGTAAATAATAAATTTTTCTTATGAACGTAATGTATTAATAGAAATCAGCTGATATTTTGACAATAGGATTAATTAAGAGTCTGTACAATTTTCAAAATAAATAAAAGTATAGCAGGGTTAATAAAACTGAAAAAAATAGAGGCATTGCCTTATAAAAACTGTAACAAGCAGCATTCCCCGATTTGTTTTGGTGCTCTTTGTTACATCAAAGTGACCAGCTAAGTTCGATAAAACTGCAAAATTTTGAGATGACAAACAAAAAATGCTGAGTGAATTAAGAGAAGCACCTAACTGTTTCAACTCACTTGTACTCAAAGATAAGACAAAACAGTACAAAATGCAAGAGAATGTTCTAGAGTATTTTCATAACTGGAGAATATTTTAATGGTTTGTGAGTACGGCTAAAGTGAAAACGCGCCTTTGAGAGGCAAGCTAAAAAACAATTTTCGAACTGATATCGTAAGAATGAGAAAGTGACGACAAGTTTCAATCGAAATAACGTAATTTCGACCACTGATATTTTCTGACATGATACTCCATGTATAAGATAACAGTTCTTAAATTGTTTAGTGGGAAGAGAGAGGTCTAGATTCCAGTCTTGGATTGAGATTTCTTTTACTTTTCGCGCATGATATTAAAAAAGGCATACAAGTTATTTTACGACGACTTTGAAGGATTTTGCAGAGATTATCATTCGCTTGCCTAAATTGCTTATTTACGTTTGGCCTCCCAAATTTCATATTAACTAAACTGTGGTGGATTAGTTGCACCAAAGCAAGCACATATTTTCAATAATAACAAAAAGTGGAGTTGGTAACAAGTGAAGGGTAAAAACCAAAATAAGCAAGTGTGCAGTGGAGTTGTGCAAAAAAGGAGGTCGGCAGTTTACCACGACCTGAAGATCAGTGGATGCTTATATTGTATCATGGAGCGAGAGTCGGAAGATGTCGTGCTGCACAAAAAAGCTGGTTCCAATTGGCGCCAAGACAAATGTCTGGATGTACGCGTGTGGTTGATCATCATCCGTCTGCCCAACCATGAATGATCACTGAGTTTTTTGTTATAGTTGTTTATGTAGATTTAAATAGAAGGAATGTCGTTGGACGATTTTTACCATAAATTTTACACGAAAGTTATATGTCCAATCAACAATTGCAAAAAAATTTAACAAGAAAAAGTTTTTTTGTTCAACAAAATTTCTTTCGTTTATTGTTTATATGATTTACTTTATGATGAAAGTATTAAAATTTGGAACTCACCTGCAGCCTTCCTAAAACAGTGATTAGAATACCTCCATCAAACATGGGTTGAGAATCAACTGCTGTTATTATTCTTTGAATTTTTTGGAATCCTAGGTTCTAAAAAAATAACATGTATATTTACACAAGTTTTCGATTGAAACCATGTTTGTTTTTGATCAATCAACTTTTTAAGGCATATAGTCGAATATCTTTGAAAAATTTAGGTTACATTCTAAACATATTTTAAAATAAAAATTTCTTGATCGTTTTATCTGTATTATTTTCTTATTGTATTATATGTATAAAGCTACAATGTTTATTAAAAAATTGTTTTGCTCATTATAAATCTAACATTAAAATACATTAAAACCGGCTTGTGATTCAATGTGAGGATCAAAATTCAATTAAGTGAAAATGTACTTATAGTTAAACCGATGGTTTATACATCTAATGATGTATAATAAGAGTTAGCTACACCTAAATACAGTTAAAACCCAGTTATTCTAAGCCACATGATCAACAATTTGAAAGTTTATACTTACATTGAATTTTTCCATGATTCCTGCAGCACCTTGAAACTGTTTTCCCTCAAATGTCATAAACGATAATTCAGACTGAAATAAATAAAATACGTTGGATGATCAAAGAATCAAGCGAAACGGCAGCCCGAAAATAGATTGAATAGTTGGCTGCAATTCACGTGAAGGCGAATTAATATATGAACATCTCACTCACGTTGTACATGTTCACCAGGTTGTGTCGCTGGGTAGAATCATCGAACATCAAGTAATATTGTTCGACAAATTTCTTGCCAATCTCTTCGTACTGGGCATTGAGTGTCATGTTTTTTCAAGCCTTATTAGGTACTTATTTATGATTTACGTATGTAGAAAAAATATATGCTGTTATCAGCTATCACCGGGTGTGCGGCACCTAATATGGTTAGGAGAGTTACTTTCCAGTGTTTTCTTGCTTATTTTCAAAACTGCGGTCGAAGCAATAAACAGCGAGCGATGCAAGTACTTAGAAAATATCTTGGCTATAAAAATAAGGCACAAAAAATAATTAAAACGATGAACAAAGTCCAAAATACCTGCACAAACTGCTACTCCGAAGCAAGCCCAGCCTGCACGTAAGTATTACTATATATGTAGTTGCAAATCAACGTTAAATACCCTTTCTCTCTCTTTCTTATTCTTATGTTTTGCGTATATTCGTGGTTTGTCTGCGATACTTACTGATGGTAGTTTGAAAACTTCTTTTGTTATAATACTTTAAAGTATAATATATTGTTCGTTTAATTTTGCGACTAATAATATCAGCGATATAACGTTTATTAATATGTAATTTGTAAAAACTAGTATGTTTGGTATCAGCTTGCAAAAAAGAGGCTGATGTTTGAAATATCGACTGTTTTTGGATCCGTCGGTAACTCAGTATAGGTCGGTATCGGTTATCGATATAAATAAGTGGTTCGCGATCTTAGCGCCAGGTGCCGCTAGATTCTATGTTTTAAAGAACCACGTTTAAAAACAATAAAATTCGATTTTTGTGTTTCGAGAAAAAATAATTTCAATGCCCATGAGTATAATGTGTCAGACCCTATGAATAGTAATAACACTGTCTTTTTTTAATAAATTTAATTAAAGTAGTACGGAACGAACAAATACAAAAGTTTACATCACCCGATTACAAAAAAATGGTATTTAGGTTTATTTTTGAAGATGTTTAACCAACACAGTTACTTTTCTTTAAAGCCTACGTAAAATTTCGTTTCTAGCTTAAACTTAACTATAGCAAATCGGTAATCTACATTTAACGTACGATTCATCAAATTTTCGAAGTAGATGATGGAATAAAATTGTAATCAAGAGATTCACTGATATTTAAATGCCACGCATCGGTAGTATGTATGTATAACCTACATAACAATTGTTAAGTAATAAAAGTTTATAATTTCAACGATTTCAGTTATCATACATACTATTACAAATCACAGGCCTGACCAACATGTAATGATAGTAGTTTTAAAAAATCTGATAAAATCATTGAACTATGATGTAACAGAACAAAACAAGTTACCTCAGATTCTCCTACGTTGTTATTATTACTATTGATAAAACATGATGATAAAACAACAAGAGCTACATAACTCCACGTTACGCATACATGCATATACGCAACATAATATTATATAGCATATATGAATTAATTGTAACCGTTGTTTCGTTTATTTATTTATTTATTATTACCTTTTTGCGAACTCTGCACTAAAAGTTCTAAAAATTAGTCTGCGTAAGTTACATACAGGGCTAGTATATGTACATACCATACGTTAGTTGTTAAAATTATTTCACGATTTATTGCCAAGATGAGCATGACAAAAACGATATCGATTATTTACCTTCACAGAAGACAGTAATTTTTTTTTCATTTTATGTTTATTGGCACGTAAATAGTTAAAATGAAATAGATGTGCCAATGGCAATTTGGGATCACCTGAATTAAAATACGCCATACATGATAACTCGTGGTAGCGATTTACTAAATAAGAAAAGTATGATACTCGTGGGTTTGTACATGTAGGTACATAAATTATATTTTTATTCCATAATGAAAGTGCTACATATCTTTATAAATATGTACCATCGCGAATTAATTTTTCAAACAAACGTTGAGCTTTTGTTGTCCACGCAAATTGCCCGTAGGTACTTGTATATATATATCGATCCCAATGGGTACACCGGTTAATTAAAACAGAGGTAAATGACGGTAAGATGAAATTTCAGTTTTGATAACGCGGTGCACGGCATTTCGAAATGCTTGTGTACACTGTGGTGTACAGGCGCCAGTGTTCTCACGAAGAACACTCGAAATTTTTCATTCCGACATTTGTTCCTCGGTGATAAATCCATCGGCAAATGCATTCGATTTACGGCACTTACTTATATGTGTATATACACATGCGCTAACTGTAACTTTAGTTTGTATCTATAAATTGCCTTTCCTTTTATGCTCTTTTAAAAACTTCCTCGAAACAAATTATCCTTGGAGTATTTTTATAAATTTATGAGTCAGAATTAATTTTTTTTTTCATTTAATTTAATTTGAACGTAAAAATAAGAATTACTTGCGTAACGAAGTAAATTTTGTTGTATCTTATAAATAATTTCGTTGGAATTCGTAAAAGCCACGATAAGTTACTCGTTCATTTAAACTATACCTTACATAAAATAATCACTAGACTTTGATCCAAAATTTTTTCACCATCAGTCGCATTTAGAAATAATTATAGGTATTTTGTAATAAATACACGAATAAACTACGTTTGTATGTTCATTCTAGAATTGCCGCACATTATCCTGTCACTTAAATTTTCCGACAGATTTTTTTTTACACTCTAGTCATGTGATCATCTTGAGCTAGGCACAGAAAAATTTAAACGAGGCTTCTTTTGACATTACTCTTGTTTAGTCTTTTAACGTTTAGTCGTTTGCACGATCTAGATATGAAGCAATATTGTAAAATACGAAAATGCAACGTTAATTTTAAAGCACACATCGTATTGGAGTTGGCACACTTTTTTCCAGTAAACAAAAATCATGATTTGTATCACTCTTTGAAATAAAAAATTCTCAAATCTCCGTGACTTAAAATTTTAGTTCGAAATACGTAGATCTAGCAAATATTGGTAATGTCATGTATAAGTACGCGATACAAGATTACTATATGTCTACGTATGGAATGCAAATAAAATTGATGCACACGTGTTTCTTTGAGAGTAATTAGATTCGTGCAATTACTTCGAAAAATGTCACGACCGATAACGAACCGAAGAACAATAGCAACTAGCAGAAGTGCTTGAACTGGTAAGTAATTTTAATTCGTGACAATTTATAATAAAATTGTTTAATTAATGATTATATTTGTTTGGAATATTTTTTCATGTTCAATTATACAATAAAATTTTCTATTGAAAAAAAAAAAAAAAAAAAACGACAAAGTTTTCAAAATTAAAAATTTCTGTTCATTGTGTTGTTTATTTATACGTCGAAAATACGTGTGCAAAGATTGAATTAATACTCGCCGAAGATGTTTTTTGGTATGAAATGTGATATTATTGCGCTTGCAATTTTCCCCCTCACAAGCATATACGTTATTTTAATCGTTGCTGGCGTACTTCGTGTGAACAATATTTATACAATAATATAACAATATTTGAGCTATTCGTTCATCTACGCTTTAATGTAACTGTGTTGTCATATGATAATACGATGAATGTAACTATAAAGAGTTAAAACGTATTAAAGTATAAGTATAAAAGTATGATGCATTTGCGAAAAAAAATCATTATTGTTTTGTGTGCTTCTATAACTTGTATGCTTGGGGAAAAATTTGAACCAAGGAATCTTTAAAAAAGACAAGTAAATTGCTCGCAATGTCATGTACTATGAGGGAAAAATTGTAAACACGGGTTTTAGCGGAGGTGACTTTTTCGCGATTTATAGTATTTAAATGTTAAAATTATATATCCTCTATATAGATATAGTTTTAACATGTAAATCGCGGAAAAAGGGTGTCATCCTCAGAGAAACTCGTGTTTAAAATTTTTTCCTCATAGTGCATGACATTACGAGTAAAACGAGCCCTATATCGAGAGTGTGCCTACAAAAAAAATTTTATTTATAAATCGGGGACAAAAGCGGCATCTTTTAGTAAATTTCTTCACACATATAAGCACGTGAATCGTTACCATTCGACAGCTAACAGTGCATTTTCAGCAAAAACATTTTTTTACAACGGTTTTCTTTCCGAATTAAGTAAGATTCCCAATGACACGTAAAAGTGCAGGTTGTTGATTTGCACGAGAATTTGTAACCAATTTTGAAACAACAGAAAAGTGAATCAAATGTCCCTCTGACTCAGGTGACGAAACGATGAGTTATGCATCAAACACACGGGCTTTTTCTGTTAAAGCAAATAAGTAAAAAAAAAGGCGAGTACTGGTAATTCAATTATCATCAGTACACAAGATAAGTTCGATGTACCAGCCTGTAGCAATCGCTACGGAGATTCCACATGCATACTTTATACGCACTCCTAATAACTGCAAACACGAGCAATCGATTTATGGCATTGCAATGATCATTTTTCAAAGTACTTACCTTTTCAACGCTCGCAGTCAAACGGGTATCCCCAAACGGTTGTATAGCGTTAGATAAAATAGTCGATAAAAAGCCCAAAGTGCGGCTTTGCGGTACTTTGTACTGCCTAGCATCCCAAGTCCTTCCTCGTGCGGCATGTCGGGTCAGACTGTATTCGAAAGCCCCGTGACCATCAACTCCGACGTTTGTCGCGCCGGCGACGCGAAAAAACTGCTGCCGAGAACAACGACGTACCCCCGTCTCAGCGATGCCTTCCGCAACGTCGTCACCCGAAACGAGGTGGAGGATCTGGTGCGACGCGCCCTATCCCCGGACGCCGAGCTCGTGGATTACCACCTGCGACCGTACTCCGAGGAGAAGATCGGTTACCTGGGCTCGCACCTCTGCTTGGTAACCGCGACGAGGCAACCCGGCCGCGAGGAGTTGCAGAAACGCAGCTTCTTCGTGAAAACTGTGCCCTACGACGTGCCCAGCCAGGTGGCCTACATCGAGGAAAAGGGCTGCTTCAAGAAGGAGGCAGCCTTCGCCGAGTCGCTGCTTCCCCTGCTCACGAGGAACTACAGGGGCGTCTCGTGGACGCCAAAATGTTACCTGGTGAAAAAGAACACCCTAGTTTTCGAGGACATGAAGTTCAAGGGCTTCTCCAACAGACCGAAGCTCTTCGACGTGAAAACGACGAAGGCGGCTGCCACGTGTATCGCCAGATTCCACGCCAGTTCGTTGCTGGCGGAGGACCAATCGAAGGGTAAGGTTTCTTCGTTGTTGTGGAGCGGTGCCGAAAAATTGACCAAGTGATTTTTGTTCCACGTACAGGCGCGTCGTTGACGGACGTGTGCCCGGTAATATTGGAGGAGTCCGAGTTCGTGAGGACGGGTCGCAGCTACGAGTGGTACTCGAACGCGATGGATTTCGCCGTGTGGCTGGCCAACGACCTGGGCCTGGATTCCAGTTGCATTAGGCGAGCCGGCGAGCTCGTCTTCGACATGTGCCGGCCATCGGCGAACAAAACCAACGTTTTGAGCCACGGGGATCTCTGGAGCAGCAATTTCATGTTCGACGAGTCCGACCAGTGCAACCTCATAGATTTCCAATTGATCCGTTACGCGCCTCTGGCCCACGATCTCATGCAGTTCCTCCACCTGTGCACTACCCGAGACTTGAGGAGGAGGCACGAGCGAGAGATCATCCAACACTATTACGCCGTTCTCAACGACAATTTGGCGGTGAGCCGTTACAGCGGGCCCGTGCCGAGTTACGAAGAACTGCTCCAAGGAGTGGAGGAGCAGAGGCTCCCGGCTCTGGTCACGGCCATCATATTCCACCCGACGGTTTTCATGGACGGCAAGATCGCGGCGAGCATCATGAACGATCCCGACACCTACGAAGCTTACTACTTTCGGGACCGCGTGCCCTTTGTGCGGGACATCATGACCCGGGATCGGGCGTACAAGGAGAACATCGAGGAAACCCTCAGGGAACTTGTTGAGCTGTCCCTCAAGGTTGACGGCTTACCTCGACCCTCGTAGCTGACGCGTATGGAAATTAATGACGAACCATATGTACAAATTGTACGTTACAAAAACAAACATTCGTGAGACTTGATAAGTACGGGACTTTGGGCAAAGTAATTTTTTTTTTTTTTTTTAGTGAAAATTTTCGTAACTGTAGATGATGAAGAAAAAATAATAATAAAAATTAGAAAATGGTATTTTTCGTTAACTTTAATACGGAGCGGGATATGGTTACCTAATTCATGTCCTTTTTTTTATAATGGTAAAAAAAAGTCATTGGTACATGAGCAGTAAGTAACAAGTTACAGGGTTAATTGGCTAGTTAAGTACATACTCAAGTCCATGTATTTTCACATGCTATTCATATATTTAGTAGTGCTTCGATATTAGGAATGTAATAACAATTAACGGAAATGTATAAAAAAGAATAATACGGCTAGAGTCACCGAGAAAAGTTACGCAAATCGCTGAATTGTCGAAATGGACGCGGATTAAGTACTCAGTTTATTTATTTGATCATTTTGCGTAAATATGTACATCTCTAGTACTTAAGGACTCAAATTGATACAGTCGATCATGAAAAAAAAAATTTTAAATAAAATAAAATACAAGTACGCCAAGGAGTAATTTTTTACAGCACCACAGCTAAAAAATATGCACGCCCAAGAATGCGTCAATAAGATTAATTGTTATCAAAAATCATAAGGATAAAGAAATTGTGTGCTTAAGTTGATAGTTCAAGTATCTGTTATAAATCATGATTTTTATATCTGCAATCAAGGGTAAGTGGTTAATTTTACAACATTACAAAAAAAAGTACTTGCGTAAAAATAACCAAAACAACATTGTAAAATGTAAGCACTGTAAGATAACGATTGTTTGACAAGATTAATCCTTTAAATCTCTCACTTGTATGTCAAATTTTTGAAGACGTAAAAAATTCACGCGAATCGAAAATATTTTTTATATTAAAAGTGCAGTATTGCAGTGACAATGCCGTTGAATAGCAGCAAGAATTGCATTGCTGATGCAATCAATAAAACCGTAACTCCGCAAGATGTAGCTCTTGTGGTGCAGCGTTTTACCGAGGACCCGTTGGTTCAAGTACTCAAGTACGACTTGGGGAATTACTCATCCCACAAACTGGGATATTTGGGGAGCCACAGACAACTGACGGTTGAAATTAAGGTGAATTTTATACACCAATGGTTTATTGTTAATTGTAAAATTTATTGATACATGATGAATCGTTTCTCTTCGTTTAGAAAAAGGATAAAAGTGACGCGGAAACGCTAAAGTTCTTCGTGAAGTCCGTACCCTACGATTGCGAGAAACAGGCCGAGTTCATCAGCGACTTGGCCGTTTTTGACGAAGAGTACAATTTTTTCAACGCCATCGCTCCGGTGCTGCTGAAAAATTACGTGGGCGAGAAATTCGCGCCAATCTGTTACCTGCCAAAGCCAGACTCCCTAATAATGGAAGACCTCAGGTGTCGCAATTACCAACTACGGGAGAGCTTTTTCGATTGCTATCAAGAGGTGAAATCGGCCCTCTCGACCCTAGCGCGATTCCACGCCTCTTGTATCATCGCCGAGGCCGAACTTACTCAGTCGTATAAGGTAAGTGATTGTCAATGCCAATTGTTTAAAATTAAACGACTAAGCCAACGAAAATAGGTGATATCCTTAAGTTTGAGTAGGAACGACCTTGACATGAAACAATTGCTGTTTTTAGAAACCTACGACTTTGAAAGACTACTGTCCGAACCACTTGACGGAAAAAGTCTTCAAGAAAGACATCCGCTCGTACATTTGGGTCAAACATGGGACGGAAATCGTCTGCGCCGTGGCCGAGAGGATCGGACGAGACCCTGAAAAATTGCGCCGAGGCTTGGATCGACTCTACGAGGTGGTAAAGCCTTCAAAAGTCCATCGCAACGTCATAGCACACTCCGACCTTTGGACGAACAATGTCATGTTCGACGATACCAAACCAACGCCAAAATCCGTACTCGTGGACTTTCAGGTACTCAGGTATGGTCCTCAGGTCCTGGATGTCCTGAAGCTTTTGCATTTACACACGTCTAGAGATTTCCGTAAGACCCACGAGAAGGAGTTGGTGCAGATTTACCAGTCAGTGGTGGAGGAAACGGTGAAAATGAGTAAAATGTCAGGGATAGCCAAGGTCTCGTCCTTACAGGAAACTGTTGCTGCGATGGATGATTTGAGAATATTTGGGCCTGGTATGGCTAGTTTGTACTTACCAGTGGTACTAATGGATCCGGAAATATTAAAAGAAAAAACAAAGGATTCCGAAGGGTTTAATAATTTTCTATTTGGTGACAGGATTGAAATCACTTTAGAATATATGGAAAAAAGCGAGTTGTACAATAATCGAATAGTGGAAGCTGTTAGCGATTTAGAAAACATATGTGATACATTATAAGTTTTACTTTGTAGTAGATAAACTTGCATTAGTTAGTAAATAATGAAATATTGTCAACCAACATTTGTTTGTTGTTGAAACAATGAACTATATTTTTCATAAAATTAACAGTATAAGTATTTATTTATGCCCATGTGTATATGTCTAGTGATTTTCAGAGTCATTTTAACTGTTCAAGACTTATTATGTTCATGGCTACCATCTCAAAGCAGCTCAAAATATGAATGTTCTTACTGTACTGTTTTTTTAATTTCTGAATTTTTTGAGTATCTGTTATATTTTTGTATCTAATTTTTTTCAATTTTTGTATTAGTAGCATCTTACAGGTTATAAGTAACGTTTTTATTTGTTTATTTTTTTTTTAATATCAAATTTTTTTTTATTAGTTAATTTATTAATGCACTGTAAACAGTCTAAAAAATTTTTTTTTCCGCCCTCGGATGGTTTTGGGAGGCTGGTACTTCCTCGGGCGAAAAAGCAGTTTTCCGGAACTCGTTCGAAAAGTCTCCTTTACGAACCTCGTTACGTCCCTCACCTTCGGCTCGAGCCGCAAACCTCTCGGTTCGCAAACAGAGACTTTTCAAACTCGTAGGAAAACTACTATTTTGTAAGTCAAACAATACATGACAATAGAGTGTATCTTGATAAATCTTTGACCAGATCTTCCATGAGCGTTTCGTTTCTTGAAACTATAAAATGATTTTCAGTTACTCTCTATTATTCTGTAGATACGTTAATCCTAAAATTAATCAGGTTTTCTATCTATTTTCAAAAATATTTTGTTTTTTATTTATTCTGTTAGTCATAACTTGCCCAAGGTGACCTGGAAAAATACCTTGAGCCTTTTAATGTAAATTACCAAAATTTTAAAAATATGAATAAGTCGGTGAGAATACATTCCTGATCGTAAAAACGTCTAAGACTAAAGTAGTAAAAGAATTATAACATTAACCAGAATGGTAAAAAGTATCAAGATGAAACAAGTAGAAATTTAAAAGGGGTCTTCCAAGGCAAGGAAAAACATTTCATTTAAATTAAATTGTTTGGGCAACCGTTAATCAGAACGAAAATTTTTATTCGTGCAAATATATATCTTTATAATACACACCTACTTTGTTGTTCTGTTTTTAACTATTTTTGAAAGATGATAGATCCACAGTAGAAAGTAAATTTATTATGTACTAAGAAATATTTTGATTTTATCCTTGAAATTTCTAAAAAAATAAATACCCTTATTTTGTATTATAAAATAGTAACTTTCGAGTTTCCTCGCATTAAAAAGTATTTTGGGCATGATTTAAAACACCCTCCTTCAAATTTTATGTGCAGAATCATGATACATTTAATAAAATGTAGATTAAATTATTTCTGATAAGATAAATTTACCCCTAAGATTTTTTTTTTTTTATACAAGTAAAAATGTAAAATTAAAATAACTGAATTATATCACAGGAGTTTGTGTTTGAATGATTCTGAAAATTTGTACTGCAAATTTTTTTTTTAGTTTCAAATTTTTACGCTTATGAAATCGACTATTTTGGAGAAAATATTATAAATAATTGAAAGCTTTAGTTCTAGTATAAGTGTATATTTTTTATAAATAGTCAAACTTTAAATCGTGTCAAGATTTAGAGAATAAGAAAATTAACTCAGATTCTTGCACACCAACTCTTAAAATAATTCCATCACAAAACTTACATTTTTAATAGAATGTCAAATAAAATAAAAATATGACTAGAGTTGAGGCAATCAATCAAAAAACTTAGTATCGTTAATTTTTACGTGAAACCATTAAATGCAGGGTCTCAATCGCGAAAAAACGTTGACCTTGAATGATACCAGCGAAACTGTACGTGTACAGTGGTACAATTTCAACCTAATTTATACTGGCACGTTTATAATTTTACTTTGAATTTATAGGGAGTAAATTACGAATAAATGTATTAAATTAAGTAACCGTAAAATAAAAATGGGCACTGCACATTCACTGCTCGGATGAAATATATATCATTAATCGTCTTCAGCGATATTAATTTGCTTGCATACATTATTCTCTGATATAAAACAAGTTTCCCGATGCTCATAAAATTCATAGCTCGCGAAATGTCGCGATAACAGGATGACTAAAGTTAATACTACAGTGGTTAATGTATTAAAAATCTATCAATTTTTATAAAACTGCATCGTTTTAGTAATATGTTTAATCATTTTCACATGTTATATCAGTACTTAGGAATAGTTTCACCACAAAAAATTTGTGTGCAATGTGCAATTTTCATACAGGTATTGGGATATAAAAAGACGAAAAAAATTATGAATAGCATAAACTTTGACTCCAGAGTGGTTTTAAGGAATTATACTAATTTTGTGATAAAGGAGATGCTATAAATACCGCGATATAAAAGTACAGATAAGATCCGAAAATAATGCGTAAGCGGAACAGAATCGTGAGATTTATAAAGAGATCACAGTGATTTTTTGGTAAAGCTAAGCAATATACTTTTTTATTTTTGTATTCATCTTTATGATAAATGCGAATGCAAGGAAGAAGTTAGAATTTAAAATCACACAAAAATGCTTGAGCTATATAGAATCAGAGTAATTATTTGCTGTATCATGCTATACAATTTTTTTTTGGATTTTTTGTTTTTGTTTTTCTATACCCATGCTTATAATGTATTACAGCAATTACAACTGCTGTCTTGCATGTCTTGTCAAAGTATAAGTTTTTTCTTAAAACATTGGGCAGAGACTCCCACTTGTACAAAAAAATTGTACTTGACGAAATATTCACAAGCAAAAAAGGGCATTATTCATATCTTGAGATAAAAAAATGTTTAGTTAAAAAAAAAGTTTTTAATCATTTATTTGACCATAAACTTTTTATTCTATTAATTGTTGTTGAGTTAAAATACTTTTAGGCCAAATAACGTGCTATATACGATGAAATAATATTATTTCAAAAATATTTAAAACCTAATTGGAATAACAATTATTTTTTCCCACTGCTCATGTGAAATAAGATACAAACCTTTTACATCGATTCCCTAGTTCCCATAAGATTGTTAAGAAAAAGTATCACACAAAATAATATGTATACACACATTATACATTCTTTACAAACATATAAAGGTACTGCAGCCAACAGTGAGATTGAATGGTTAACAAAAATTCCGTGTTGACCGTTTGATATCAGAATACGCAATTTGATAAGAACGTGTGATAGCATGTGTAAATATAAATAAAATAATGTATTTAATATTACATAATTTGCAAAATAAAAATAAAGTTTTCCTCCTTGTTATTGAAACCAAACGATGTAATAGTTGAATCACGCAAAAAATTACAACTCTCTTTGGACAAGTGGATAATTGTACACTTGAAAGATCAGTTGTCATGAGTTTTATTATTCGTCTCGGTTGCGTGTGTTACTCCGGTATAAAGGGAGATTCGCGTCACTCGGAAAATTCTTTACTCGTGCAGTGTCGCGGTGACAAGATGCCGTTGAATAGCAGCAGCAGCAGCGAGAATTGCATTGCTGATGCAATCAATAAAACCGTAACTCCGCAAGATGTAGCTCTTGTGGCGCAGCGTTTTACCGAGGACCCGTTGGTTCAAGTACTCAAGTACGACTTGGGGAATTACTCATCCCACAAACTGGGATTTTTGGGGAGCCACAGACAACTGACGGTTGAAATTAAGGTAAGCATTAAAAACGTACAATACCATTTAAAAACAAACGATAGGACAAAGTCAACAATCACTTCTTCCGATGTAGAGGAAGGATGAAAGTGACGTAGAAACGCTAAAGTTCTTCGTGAAGTCCGTACCCTACGATTGCGAGAAACAGGCCGAGTTCATCAGCGACTTGGCCGTTTTTGACGAAGAGTACAATTTTTTCAACGCCATCGCTCCGGTGCTGCTGAAAAATTACGTGGGCGAGAAATTCGCGCCAATCTGTTACCTGCCAAAGCCAGACTCCCTAATAATGGAAGACCTCAGGTGTCGCAATTACCAACTACGGGAGAGCTTTTTCGATTGCTATCAAGAGGTGAAATCGGCCCTCTCGACCCTAGCGCGATTCCACGCCTCTTGTATCATCGCCGAGGCCGAACTTACTCAGTCGTATAAGGTAAGTGATTGTCAATGCCAATTGTTTAAAATTAAACGACTAAGCCAACGAAAATAGGTGATATCCTTAAGTTTGAGTAGGAACGACCTTGACATGAAACAAATGCTGTTTTTAGAAACCTACGACTTTGAAAGACTACTGTCCGAACCACTTGACGGAAAAAGTCTTCAAGAAAGACATCCGCTCGTACATTTGGGTCAAACATGGGACGGAAATCGTCTGCGCCGTGGCCGAGAGGATCGGACGAGACCCTGAAAAATTGCGCCGAGGCTTGGATCGACTCTACGAGGTGGTAAAGCCTTCAAAAGTCCATCGCAACGTCATAGCACACTCCGACCTTTGGACGAACAATGTCATGTTCGACGATACCAAACCAACGCCAAAATCCGTACTCGTGGACTTTCAGGTACTCAGGTATGGTCCTCAGGTCCTGGATGTCCTGAAGCTTTTGCATTTACACACGTCTAGAGATTTCCGTAAGACCCACGAGAAGGAGTTGGTGCAGATTTACCAGTCAGTGGTGGAGGAAACGGTGAAAATGAGTAAAATGTCAGGGATAGCCAAGGTCTCGTCCTTACAGGAAACTGTTGCTGCGATGGATGATTTGAGAATATTTGGGCCTGGTATGGCTAGTTTGTACTTTCCTATGGTACTAATGGATCCGGAAATATTAAAAGAAAAAACAAAGGATTCCGAAGGGTTTAATAATTTTCTATTTGGTGACAGGATTGAAATCACTTTAGAATATATGGAAAAAAGCGAGTTGTACAATAATAGAATAGTGGGAGCTGTTAGCGATTTAGCAAACATATGTGATACATTGTAAATTATAATTTTCTCAAAAGATAATTGTGACATTTAAGTAATAATTATAGTCGAAATTGCGGTATACTAATTGATCGGACAAAGTTCGTAACTGTTAATATAGGAGCTAAAAACAGTATTAACAAAATTATGCTTTAACAAATAGAACGTTTGATAGTACTATTTAAATTTTATAAATAATATATATTCATGGCAAATTAAAAAAAAATCAACATCATATAATTTTTATATACTAAAATAAAAGTATTAGTTAATTAACATGAAGTGCTTGCAAAAAAAAATTTTATTTTCATCTAACTTATGAACTGATAGGTACAGAATAACTCAAAAATACAATTGACATCAAATTTAATATTCACAATACAACATCGAAACGATGATAAATTTTATTGTATAATTATTTAACATTCTAATTATCATCACTTATCATTGCAGAAGAACATTTTCGATGTAATAGATATTTGTGGACTATGTGTGACATTAAAAATAAATTCAGATGAGATGTTGAGAAAAAAAAAGCAAAAAAGCATCGATCGTAAAAACCGAGTTTTCCTCAAAAAATGCAGTGTGGAAAATTATGAAAAAAAAAAAAAAAAAAAAAAAATGGCACATAAATCAACAAATCAGATAGTTGGCACCTGACAAGTCGTTTTTCCTTCTCGGAGTAACTAATTAAACTTCATAAATCAGTTCGGGCACGAGCTGCGTGTTTATCATCTGCTGCTGTCATTGGCCTGTCGTCAACAGTACAGGTAGTGCCCCGTCACTTGAGCTGCAGTCGCGCGTGAAAAAAAAAAAAAAAAAAAAAAAAAAAAAAAAAGGCTAGTCACACTCGTGCGCGCAGTCGTAAGAACAAGTCGGCCAGAGAATGTCGTCGAGCAGCAGCGACGAGGAGAGCGCCGCCGACGCGATAAAAAACACGGTGACCCTCGTCGACGTGGTCACCGTGACTAACAGGGTCTGCGAGAGGGACCGCTTCATCCACGTCAAAGACTTCAACCTGAGCCCCTACTCCAGCGAGAGGCTCGGCTTTTTCGCCTCCCACCGACAATTGACCATCAAAATCCGGGTAAATCGACACCGTTGTCTTTAAATGTATTGAGTGAGCGAACGGGGGAAAAAAAAAAAAAAAAAAAAAAACCATGACAATCCAACACACGACTCTTGCAGCGTAACAACAATCTCCAGCTGGAGGAGCTGAGCCTGTTCGTCAAGTCCCTGCCCCACGATTGCAAGCAGCAGCTCGATTTCGTCCGGAAGGAGGGCCTCTTCGCGGAGGAGTGCAACTTTTACGGCAGCATCGCCCCCGAGATGCTCATGAATTACAAGGGCGAGAGATGGTCGCCCCATTGCTACTCGGTCAAGTTGGATTGCCTCGTGATGGACGACATGAGGTTTTTGGGTTTCCGGCACGCCGATTTTTTCGACAACTCGCAGCTGTTGATGGCCGCGTTGGCGGCCCTGGCTCGCATGCACGGCTGCTCGATCGTCGCCGAGACTCGGCTCAGCGAGTCGTTCGAGGTACACTTGTACGCTGCTTATGCACCACATTTTTTCTTTCTTTTCTTCTTCGTTTGGTACTCTCGAGAACGAAGTAAAAAAACGAATCGAATTGCCAATTTTCATGTTCCATATATTGTAAAATTAACAAAAAAAAAAAAAAAAAAAAAAAAAAAAAAAAAAAAAAAAAAGAAAAGAAAAGAGGTTTAGTTTTACACGAATGCCTTTCGATTTTTCGATTTCCGAGGTCTGATCTTGACTTTGGTCTGTATAGGCCTGCAGCTTGACCGATCAATCATCGCATGCTGTTGAGCTACGTTTATTTATAATGGTACCGGTACCGGCCGAACAAACAACTTTGATCTTTGAATACATTTATATACATACACACACACACACACACACACACACACACACACACACACAAAGTTCATAACCATCAAGGCCATCTTTAAAAATATATGTAGAGAATTTTTTTTTTTTTTTTTTTTCAAATGTGTTTTGCGGTGTAAGACATGTAATATTACATGGCACAAAAAAAATATGTGAATGTACGGGTTTGTGTATACGCGCTAGTGGGTGTGATCAGTTGAGAGCAACCTCGAGATCACAGCGATACATCCATTGTATAAAACTTTGTTTTCACCGTGATATTGTTTTTCGTTTGATTATTTAAATTTACAAAAAAAAAAAAAAATAAAATAAAAAATAGTCGTTTTATTTTTTAAATTAACGTATGTAGCGCGTACCTCTTCGTTAATTTTCTCATCGACAAGTTTCGACGCACAGTCATACTGTTGCGCTGTAAAATCGTAAAAAATTTAACTCCGCAACTTTTTGCTTGTTGTGCGCTGTTACAATAATATCGTAAAGTCGGAAACGAAAAAAAAAAAAAAAAAAAATCCAATTTCCAGCGTCCACTGACGATGAGAGAGCTTTACCCCAACAACTTTCGAGAAAAGCAGTTCAACCGGCGAGCGAAGCTCTACCGGTGGTTCAAGTCAGCCGTGAACGTCTCGTGCCGGCTCGGCAAGGAATTCGGCCACAAGATCGACAAATTTCCCAAGGTGTACGAGCGGCTGTTGCAACTGGTCCGACCGTCGCCGAGGTACCGCAACACCCTGTGCCACAACGACTTGACGGCGGCCAACGTCATGTTCAACGAGTCGGGGGACAACGCCGTCCTATTGGACTTCCAGATGGTAAGGTACGTGCCCCCGGCCACCGACGTTTTGCAGCTCTTGTACCTCCACACGTCCCGCGCGTTCCGCAAGGCCCACGAGAAGGAGCTGATCAAGTATTACCACTCGATTCTCGTGGCTACGGTCAACCGGACCGACCAGAAGGACCAAGCCGACGTCCCCAGCTTGAAGGAGATACTCAACTCCGTGAGCGAGCTGAGACTGTTTGGGGTGGGCTTGGCGAGCCTGTACCTGCCGATGACGCTCATCAGTCCGGACCTCGTCGACAAGCAGATCGAGGACGAGGAGGCTTACGAGATGTTCTTGTTGGGCGACAGGATCGATCTCACGAGGAAGAGTTTGCAGGACGACAATTACAGGGCAAAGGTCGAGGACATTATCAGCGCTTTCGCGGATTACGCGAAAAAGTGTGACGTTTGAATCCCAATGCCCTATACATATATACGTATGTCGTGCATTACGAATGCTTGGATAAAACGTACATTTACCGAGCACCCCTGTGTTTTTTTTTTTTTTTTTTTTCATCTAATGTTGTTTTTGATTGAAAAAATACTCGATTGGTCGGAGCGTGTTATCGTATTACAATAAATTTGATAATTACCAAGTATTTTTTTTTTTTACTTAAAGAATGGGGTTGCTTGGTGTTTGAAAAGAAAAAAAATGTGCCATTATTTGTATGTACCTGCCTTTAAATTAATAATAAAAAAAAAATAATACACGTACTTGTGTTTGTTTAGAAAAATAATAATAGACCACATGGTAAGTACGAACAAAAGCGCAAATACGTTTTGGCGCGTAATTTTTTTTCTTTCTTATCAGCCCAAGCGACATGCTCGCCAATTATGTTGAATTTTGAAAAACCAAGCGAACTAATTTTTTGCACGAGATACAGTTCATTTGCCGACTTTATTCTACTCGCGGCTTCGGCGGAGACAGTGTTTCTTAAAAATAAAAATAAAAAACTCGCCAATTAATATCAATCAATGGAACACGAGTTGGAGATGAGTGTCAGGCGATCACACGACCAAGTGTCACGGTAGAAAAAAAAAAAAAGCTTCGGAAATTGGCGTTGGGAGTCGAATGATTTATCGAGCACTCGATGGTAGTTACTTTATGTACCAGGAACTGAGAAAATTAATCGCATCGTGTCTGAACATTTTTCCGAAATCAAGCACACGTTCAGTGATACTACGATGGCATTAAGGAGTCGCGTCTAGATGGAGTCGACGGGTAAGTACAATTGAGTTTTCGCGTTACGATGATTACGTATTATCTTTGTATATATGCCTTCGAGGTGTCTCCAAATAAATGAATCATTTTTTCCATTCGGCGCTTCTCACATCCAATCAATCAGTTATTCAGTTTTGAAAATCACTTCCTCGTGTTATGCATACGTGACGAGATTGTTGTCGATGATGACTCAATGAGCTAGCGATGATGATGGTTTACCATTAAAAGAAATCATATACGCGCTAATTACCTGTACATTACGGTACACATCCGAGAGAGACGCAACGTTGCGTACAGCGTAAGTCTGAAGGTTTTAAAACTCAAGGTCTCGCCCGAGGGTAATTACACTCCTCGACGAGTTTTAATAGATAACTTGAAAGAGTGATTTTTTTTTTCCCCTCCAACCCAAGGTTAAAACCACTGCCAACCGATTATTTACACCGGTGTAAAATTTAATAAAAGCTAAAAACCATGTAAGTACAAATGTGTGCCAAGTCGTTAGAGCATAGCTGTAAATTGTATGAATTGCATATACGATTGATAAGCGCAGAGGATGAAGAAATAATCAGTCAACCAACGAGCACGGTATTCAGCATCCGCGAACGAGGTTACAATTCGTATTAAAATTTTATCCAAAAATTGGTTACAGGTACACCCGCGATCGCAATACCTGGTGTAATATAGAATATAGTCGCATCCTCATATACGTATAGACAAGCGTTATACAAATGCCAATAATCTCGTCTGCCAAGATACCTCGTATTATATATATATATTAGTGTATACACTAATGGCACTATTTTCGGCCCGTGTATACGGCAATTAAGTATCTCTAAGTTCCCTCGCTCGACTCTCTCTAGAGAGATACTATAATAAAAGTGATCAGCGCCGCGTGACACGCGATTCAGTTGTCAGCTCGACTCGGTGGATTACGAATCTCCATCCGCCCCGCGCTTACATAACACCTATACATTATATATTCCAGCGGTGGACGAGTCGTCACCGAAGGCTCGCGGCGCTCTAAGTATACACACGTTGCGTCAAACGAGTCCTTCCCGCGGGAGCGCAAAAAGTATAACCCGTTGGTCATGTTGAGCGCAGAGATGGTGAACGAGATAGTCGGACGGGCCCTTGGCAGCGATTGCGCCCGAGTGCTCGGGTACCGGCTGGTCGCGCACTCCGAGGATGGGGCCGTGGGCTTCCTCGGGGACCACCGGAACCTCGTGGTCGAGCTCCGTCGGGGCGACGAAGGACCCATCGAGCAGCTCCGCTTCTTCGTGAAGACCCTGCCGAAGCTCTCGGAGCGCCAGTTGGCCTTCGTCCGGGGCGCCAAGCTCTTCCAGCAGGAGGTGGCCTTTTTCACGAAGCTGGTGCCTCTACTGGACCAGGGATTCTCAGGGGAGCGGTTCTGCCCCCGTTGCCTCCTGACCGGCGAGGAGTTCATAGTCCTCGAGGACATGCGCGAGTTGGGCTACGGCATGCTGGACGACGCCCGTCAACGGGGACTCGGGGACAAGGACCACCTGCTCGCGGCGGCGAGGGCCCAAGCGAGGCTCCACGCGGCTTCTCTCCTGGCGGAGGCTCGGCTGGGCCGGCCGCTCGACGAGTACTGCCCCGAGGCTTGCGTTGAGCACTTGTTCGGCGAGGCGAACTACAAGACCGACCGGGTGGGCCTCTACGTCGACCTGATCGAACGCGTCGCCCGGGAATTGGGCTTGGAGGATGGTCGGTTGGCCACTGCCATGCGCCGGGGGTTCATGCGGATGTACCGGCGGCCGCCCGGGATGAGGAGGGTGCTGTGCCACGGGGACAACTGGGCGAACAATTACCTGTTCGAGGAGTCTAGTCGGCCTTTCGGGTGCGTCATGGTGGACTTTCAGCTGTGCAGGTACGGGCCGGGGATGTACGACGTGGTGCAGCTGATGTACCTGAGCGGCAATCGGGGGCTCAGGGAGCGCTGGGAGAGGGAGGTTGTGGAGGGCTACCGCGAGGAGATGTGCGGGATCCTCGGGAGGAACGAGCCGGGTATCGAGGGACCGAGTTTCGAGGAGTTGTGGCGGGAGTACGAGGATCTGCGCTTGACGGCCATGTACGCTTACGTGATGTACCACCCGATTCTGGGCATGTGCAAGGAAATGTTCGCCAAGTTCGAGAAGGACCCGGACTACTTTTACGACGAGATCATGTTTAGGAAGGACAACGTGAACCTCGTCGAGCTTTACCGGAGGTACCCGGGGTATATGAGCGGCCTGGCCGAGTTGGCGAAGGAGCTGGTGGAGTATTGCGAGAAGCATGACATTCCGGAGCAAAAAGACAAGGACGAAGGGAAGACCAGTTGGTGATTTTTGTCCGTGTCAATGATGAAATTTAAAAAAAAAAAAAAAACGCACCAAATGCGAACATAAAAGTATTTTTTTTTTTTTCGTCAGTTCAACTGATGTCAACGATTTAATTTGCATTGTTGGCTGCTAACTGTTATATGTATACACATACATTTCATGTTTTGTTGTTTACGAGTGTCATGCAAGAAGATGAATTATTTTATTCAAAACTGTACGCGTAAACTTGCAGTGTTCGATGATCATAAAATTTATACAGAAACAAGATGTTACGTATCCAATATAGTTATTATCTTTTCACTGATACGTCCGATAATACATTTGATGGCATATACATATAAATGTACCAAAACGAGATCTGCGTCATGAGTATCAAAGGGTATTTTTTTTATGTTAACTTTCATTAATATCGAGTTGGTTTTTTTTTTTTTTTTTCACAATCAACAACGTATTCCGATATAAAATCAAAAACGCTTTGGTATGAAGAAATAAATTTTAATGGCAATAAAATTAATCTGCATTAACGAAGAAATTTGGTTAATATTTAGTTTGATAATAAGGCAATTCACCAAGCAGTACCTTACACTCGAAGAAAATTGGAGTGGATAGGCGTAGCCATGATTATTAGATATGTAATGCTTACTCTATAGTGCTCATTTCAAGCGCGCGTGGGTATTGGTAAAACTGTGTAAGTTATCGACACGAATACGTTAGAGTATATGTTTGTATTCGATTAATAAAATTTATAAATAAGTTTGTCATCCTTACTAAGAATTTATTTTATTTTTATCACAGAATAGCAATAGCTCTCCTGTTGCGTCACATAACATAAATATTACCATTTGGATTGTTTTAAGTAATAAAGACGTTGAAAGATAGTAAATGAAAAAACAGACACCTGAAACGGTAAAATTAAGAATATCGCAGATCGCAATATATACAATATGTATTGTCGCATGAGCGTTCTCTATTTGTTCTAGTGGAGTGTAAGTATCTATATATGCACAAATGATTATGCTTCGAGAAAGAAAAGTTCTATTATCTAGACATGAGTGATATGATAATAATCATAGACGTATTATTTTCGAAAAGTAATAAAATCTAGATGATTGGACAGGAATAGTTTCAGAATTATATACAAGAAAGAAATTAATTAAAATGGTTTTAAAAATACACTTTCATGTATTTCTTGCTGTCAGCGAACAGAAAGTTTTTTTTCCAGAGTTTCTCTCGAGAAACAAGTTTTTCTGTGTAATGATTTTTGTATAGTAGTAAGAAAATAAATTAAAGACAATATTGAAAAAAAAAAAATAAAAATGAAAATTTATAAAACAACTTTAAAGTGAGCTACAAACGCACTGTGCAAACACTGAGGTGGACTGCTAGATTTTCTGGCAAGTTGCACCGAAAATAGAAGTACTTGTATTGTACGAGGCCTGAGATGTTCGAGTGCGATATGATGCTACACGCGACTTGCGTAACGTGATAGTATATGAAACATAAGGAAATTAAAGGGTGATTTGACGAATTAACCATGATCTTATGCTGTAAGGGTAAATAAGTGGAGGACTGTAACGCAGTTGATTGGATAAAGATTAATCCAAAATACCATCATGGAAATTTATGAGCGAAGGAGTAAAATTTTTTTTTCCCTTAGATAATCGGAATACTAGGGTAGTACAACAAAAGCGTTTAACGACAGGTTTTAGTTAGAAAAAAAAAATAATTTCAGGCCAGATTAATACTGCTCGACAGTATTTTCATTGTATTTGAATTTTCGTAAATAACACCTTTTTTAATTCTCTACACGAAAGCATGTAGAAAGGGCACGTGTTAATTTTTTTTATCTTCATGGTTATTGAATAGAAAATTCGAATAGGTAGACAAATTATTATTGTTGGCATCTCTACCAATTTGTTGCTGAAAAATGTAGGACGTGGGGAGAAATAGCTGCAATTGCTGTTTTTAATTTTTAACTTGAGGCTCTCATAACCAAATTTTTGATTGATATATGATCATTTACAATCAAGGATGAGACTGGACATTTTGATGGAAGAATGTATAAACACGTAGGTTCAATCAAAACCGTTTATTGAAAAATCTACTTGAAAGCGTAAAAGCAATTTTATTTCATTCAAATTTTACACGCGTCGCGTTTTATTTAAAATTACTTTGTCGTGATTTCATTGTTCACCGGCAGCACTGTTTTCAAGAAATCCCAGTCGTAATCCATCAGCTTTTCCATATCATCAGCATCCTGTTTATCGGTATCCACGGTTTTGTCTTTGGCCCCGGAAACGTCATCTTTTGGCTGAGGATCCGATGTTTTTTCGTCGTCACTATCCGAATCTTCATCGACTGCGTTTGCCACGGCAGACCTTCAATTAAACGATGCAGTAATAATCTCTAGTACACTGAGAGAAGGATTTGTTTTCTGCTGATACAGCATGTTAACTATTAATGTACGTATATTATATTTTTCGTATTACAATAGTTGACATATCAACATTTTATGTAATCATTTAGCTGTTTCATGCGTGGTCTCGTACATTTGTAGTTAATATTTCACATATTCAATGAAAAAAATACATGCAATTATCGTTATAATGTAAAACCTTAACCCTACAATAGTACATTATACAGAAATAAATGACAGCGTTTCGAGGTATTAAAAAGTATTAGGCTATTTTATTTAACATCTCTGTGAGAAACTATAAATTTTTCTATAAAATTTTGAAATAATAATAANTAATAATAATAATGTTTAAGACAAAAAAATTACCTGGACGGCTCAGCTTGAGTATCCCCATCTCTGTTATATTTTCCTACGAGAGCTAGCAAGTACGGCATGCAGAGCATTCTCATGGGCGGCAACGTGTGGGCCGGAGTCGTGAGAAGCTAAAACGACGTTTCAAAACGGTATTCAAAATGCAAATTGTGATTTTCCTTTGATTGTTTGTAACAATACTGAAACACTTAATTATAACTCTTGGAAATAATTGGTACGAGAAATATTACACAAATGAACTGTATGGCCGAGGATGTATTTTGCTTCTTTTGCCAAATGGCGCAATTTGAGGCGCGATTGAGGCCTGACCTAGCAATGTAAGATTCACAGTACGCGGTAAAGAGTTGATTGTTCTTGAGAAAATGATTCGCCGAGAGAGAGAGAGAGAGAGAGAGAGAGTCAAAATGACGTGTTTTCTCCCTAAAAACGTACAGTCGCGCGTGACGCGGATCATGCACTCACGACTTAATTTACCACGGGATTCCCCGGTTTTTCTCTTTTCGCCACCCAATTTATATTTATAGAAAAAAAAAGGGAAAATCCGCTTTCAAACACTGCATGTATAAATGATTTTGCGCTAGATGCGTATTATTGTTATAACACATGGAGAACAACGACGCGTAAATAACACCCACACAGAGACAGTGCACGTAACGAACCCGGAAGAGGCCTACATCATGCGTGCGGAGCAGGTCGGCTAAATTGTAACGAGAGAATTCCAGCTGGGGAGTCGGTGAGAGCCGGTCAGAAAATCGAGTAAACACTTGGCGTCCGCTGCGACAAAAATGAACGTGCGATAATAATTATACGATCGATTGGAAGACCCCGCGTAAACAATTACAAAAAACAACGCTACCTTTCTCACGAACACGGGACAATTAACAGCGAAAAATAATTAATGATCGCGCAAATAAGGATGAACAAAAAGTGGTCCTTTCAAAGGGGGGGGGGGGAGGGAAAAAAGCTCGGTACAGCAGATGATGCACGTTAATCTGATACACTTTTCTCGGATGGTGATGCATCAGAGCTTGCCATAGGGGGGATGGCCCTCTCCATCGCCATGCTCTCTTATATTAGATCATGGCAGGCCCACTGGAAGTCAGTTCCCTGTGCTCAAGCGCGCGAGGTATTATTCGGCTACATCTGCGTGCAGTGTGTGTACTCTCCGATGCGCAAGGCTGCGTAATATCCACGTGCGTTCGACTGGCTGAGCTGCAAGCTCGGGCTGTTGCATTTCAACATATTCGAAAAATATTTGAACTGTACCGTGCTCCAAGTAAACGGATACTTGGTGTGGCGCTTGCAAGTAGCGTATATTGAACGTGAGGCCGGATCGGTGAGAAATATGAAGTTCCGCGGCTTGGGTCTGCTCGTATGTTTGGTTTGTCTGGTGTTTCTCGCGGCGACGGCCTCCGCCAAACCGGCTGGAGACCCGGAAGCGGTGAGTATTGGGAAACAGTAAAACCCATTTTTTTAAAATTTATTCTTGTTAATAAAAAGTCAACCATACAGTTACGATGCAAAACGTTGCTGACTGCAATCGATTCTCGGCCCCAAACAAAAAATGCTTGAAGCAAACAAACGACGCTCATTCGATAAATCGCCGGGTGGGTGATCTCAAAAGAGAGAGAGAGAGAAAAAAAAACTTCAAAGTCGGCACTCCAATGGCGCGCACGATCTCTCTCTTGATTTTCAGAAAACTGGGTCAGTCCTTTCGCGCGGCTACAATGAAAACGCAGCCGGCCAACGGAGCTTGCAAGCTCGCGCGCTTGTTGTCGGTGTTTCCCTTAAAAAAAAAAAAAAAATAATAATAATAAACCACCGGATCGATTAATTTGTTTTCCGCTCGGCGGACATTGGCGGAATCTCTTACTTCTACAGCTGCGAATAATAAAGGAAAAAAAAAAAAAATCTATTTTCGGTAGTCGTTTCTACTCTTCGACACTGTGCAGCCCTAAACGCTCAATATTCCAATGACGGGACTTGCGTCACGTCGAGTCGAGTGCCTACAAGTAGGTACACCGCGTTACCACGATGCACTCGTAGCTTAATTTCCACTCGATCTTTGCGCGTGTACGAGTATACCTTGGGGACTATCGATCGAATGAAAAATACGAAAGGGCGAATGGTTGAGGGAGGGAGATGGAAAAAAAAAAAAAAAAAAAAGGTGGCGGTAAATGAACAAACCAAAAGAGGCAATCGGTGCTAAAGCTCGCACGTGTGGGGAAGGAGGGGAGCAACAACAATGAGGTATCGGTAGCGGCAAGAGAGGGCTTTGACTCGCTCGAGCTGTGTTATTGCGCGCAGCCAACACGATGAAATAACCGTATATAATGCGTGGATATACATCACATGCAACGCTCGGTTGGTGCATAACAGTGTCCAAAGAAAGCAAATTGACCACCTCCGGGGTGGAATGAACCCTATATATACAAGCGTCGCATTCTGCCTCCCGTTCTCGAGCTCTTCGTTTAATGGCTTCGTGTATATGTTGCAGTGACGATGCGCGCTACGGCGATTTATAAATTACGAGGTCGATTGCTTGTTGTTGCAGCCGCGGAACACTTACTCATCGCGGTGTTGATGAACTGCAGTGCGACATAAATATATATGTTACGATGAAATTGCGTGTACCGCGATATGGATGGACGCGAGGTGAATTGGAAAAACGTTACAACTTCAGTTCAGCCGGACTTGGGCACCATTTCCATTTTTTGTTTTTTTGCTGAGAGAGTGAATTTTTTTTTTTTTTTTTCCAAATATTGCTTACAACATCTATAGTGCTTCACAAAATTTTTGCAGTAACAACAATGTACTGTGATTTAAAAAAAAAACTGGTAGAAATAATTTTTTTTTTCTTTTCCTCATAGCTTATTATGAGTATAGTGATGGAAAAAACATTTTTTTTTAGCAACAAAAATAAACTTTAATCGGGAAAAATAAATTTGTTTTTTCAAAGTGTTATTAAAAAATCCATAAAACAATTGGTGTCCAAGTCCGAGTTCAGCGACCGACAGCGAAATTAAAGTAAAATATTGAATACGAACGGTATGGTTGAGATACGAAGAGAGTATTTTGTTTGGGGAGAAAAAAAAAATTAAAACTTGAATGGCCAATCAAAAGTTGTATCATTCACATCACGCGTACAATGGTCAACGAAACGTAAAAAAAAAAATACATGGATGTTTCAAGGGCCTGGAGCTGATTAAGATAGCGTTTGAAGGACCACTCGGAAATATCTCCCCCCCCCCCCCGTTAACCGGCGTATTGACACGATTTCACACCAACTGACCTACTTTGCTTTTTTATTTCTCTATCTCTCTCAGTATGCGGTAAGCGACGGCGCTATCGACGCATATTTTTCTTTTCTTTTATTTTTTTTCCAAGTAGACACACATGCGTTCTAGATCGATTAACCAAAGATCAACAAAAAGCATCGCCGCAAGAAAAGCGTCTCGTCGTGTACTCAATTAAAATATCCAGTTTTACAAATACAGACAGGGGGGAGGGGGAAAAAAAAGGAACAACATCTTAAAAATGTAAACAATAATTTTGCAGGCGATCGAGAACATGAGACAGATACCACAGTGGCACTGCCTGCGCTACCGGAAGTTCGACCTGGTGCGTCGCTGTCGGAACTACCGCATTGGCCGCAAGCACTAGTCGTCATCGTCGTCGTGAATACAAGTATATAAAAGCTCCTCAAACATCGAAAGAGGCTCGCCGTTGCCTTGTCATATCTCTGTCAATCCGTACGATCTACCGGCTGCCACAAAGCGGCCAAGGCCTGCGCGCGCGCGTCCTCAGGGGCGCTATAAACTTAAGACTGCGCCACTTCTCTCATCGCACGCGATAATTAATACATGATACGTGTGTTTGATATGTACCCTCGATACCTATTTCTTTTCCATGCGCTTCTTTCTCATCTTTTGTCGAGCTTTATCGACTCAAACTCATCTATGGTTCGTTCGACGCCAGACTGATTCTCATTTGTAGGTATTTTTCTTGCAACGAAATTGAACGACAAAATTCACTGTCTCTTGTCAGTATAGAGCGTGCAACGACAACGATTAACAACCATGCTTTTACTTTCTTACTCGTCTCATAATTTTTCAACATTATTGTAACACCATACAATCACATATTATATATTATGCTCAAGAAAATAGCAAATAAAACACATTCAACTGCATTTATTCTAATGTATAATATTTGTATTATTTTTACTTATGCATACGAGAGATAACTTTGTAAGGGAAATCGTAAAGATGTGTAAATTATTTGGATCTCTGTGTCAATTTGAGAAATAAATAATCTAACGCAGTAAGATAATTATTAATTGATAACTCACCATTTCCCCGATTCCCTTGTTGGTCGTTTTCAGGTAGTCATGAACGTAAGATATTGATTTCTCCACGTTTGATATTTTTTCTGCAGGCAGGATACGACTGAACGCAGTTATGGGTAAATCGCGGTTCACTGACAAATTTTCCAAAGCTATACTGGACTCAGATTTTGTTTCCAATGCCAACAGTTCCTTATGAAACAATCAAAAAATTATACAGGTGCAATTTTACATGTATTCTAACGAAGATTAATCAATCAGTACAATACTAACTTGTGACGAATTAATAAAGTATAACGATGACTTGCTTTGCCACTTTGCGTTTTCGTTAGCTTGGATATTAGGCACGAAGCAAGCGTCTAAAATTGAATCGTCATTTTCCACTACCTTCTCTCTTTTGTACACAATTTCTGTACCTCTCGGTGAAAATACAATTACTGTAAAATAATAATTGTACTTTTTTTTTTTTTTTTTTAATCTCATTACGGAAAAATTCGAGGAAACTAATTTTACAAACAGAGGAGGTACGGATAAAACTTACGCGTATTTTCGATGGTAAAAACAGCCATGTAAACGGATAGAGGATCAGCAGTCAACGTAGTAACATTGATAGGAACACTCCACTTGACTGACAACGAAAAAAGATCCCAAACTGCCAAATGTTCTGCAGAAGCTGTAACTACTAGATGGCAGGCTTCTTGCTTTCCAAATTCAACTCGACTGTTTGAGTAAGACAAATTTTTTGTTACATACAGCTTTAAAATTACCAATGAGCAACAAAACCTCGAATCTTACGTTATTGGCTGTGGGTACAAACAGTAGCTCAAGCTGTTTTTTAACTCGTTAGTTTCTGGATCCCAGAGTGTCAAGGTAGAATCAAAACTAACACCTACAAGGGAACCGTCGGTGGAAAATCCTGCATCTAGTGCTGGAAGTTTTCGATAAAATCCAAAACTGTGACATCTCCAGTGTTTAGATTCATCTGGAAAAAAGTCCATAAGTTCGTGTGTAGGTTTTATAAATTATAATTATTCTCTTGAAATTGAATAATGATGTAACACTCACTGTATTCTGAATCGGTAAGGTACCAAAGCTTGAATTTCTCATCTTGCCCAACACTGATAGCATACTCTTCGTCGTTTCCTAGTGAAGATTTTGGTCTGAATTTGAGTGCATTTACGCCAACTTCGTGAGGATATTCAATAGATGTATTTAAAGTAAAGCTGTAAAGAAATCATCAAATAGACACGTCTGCGCATATATACATGGCATAGTTTAAACAAAATCTTACCATTGTTTTGACACATTATACTTCCAAAATTTAAGTCTTATTTCAAAATGTGATATACTATCATCTTTCCATTCTTCTATTGTTGCCAACCACGATCCATTCACATTAATAGCCACTTTTATAACTTCAGTATTTGTCAGTGTTGTGTTTCTTTCTCGTGTTATAATATTCTGGTCAGTTATATTCATCTAAGCCATTGAAAAGTTAAAAGTATGAGTCATATCACAATTTGGCGTTTTATTTCATTGGTATGATAACTTACATTGTAGAGTAAGCTTTTGGTATGAGTGTTGAAAAACTGGATGTGACCAGTTCTGCTGTTTAAAACAAGACTATTAGTTCTTGGATCGACATGAAGACCAGCTGGGAAAGGACCTTTGGAAGAACTACTGACGCCCCAAGTGAAGTTTTGAATTACTGCTATTAACTTTTTTTCAGAATTTACAATTGTTATACCTAAATAAATGAATCGATGTTACACAAATTTTAGTACACTCACAGAAAGTAATAATAAATAAACATGTACCATTGTCAGCAGTAGACACTGCTATGTAAATATTTTCCGGAGCTATAGTAAGATGCCTTATAGCGGCAGGTAATCGAGGTAAAAATGACTTATTTTCTGGATTTGCTAATAACCATTTGACAAGTACACATTCATCACCACCAGTGTACATATAACCACCTGAGACAACAGGTATCGTATTAAATAAGTTTTATAACTAATTATCATAAAAAAACAGTTTACATGTACACCTATATACTTACCAGATTTGCTAAAAGTAATGTCTGTAACTGGCAACGTATGCCAATGATATGTTGCCCTAACTGTATTGAGTTGAGAAATATTTCTCCAAACAAGCACTCTACCACTTATGTCTCCAGTAGCAACGGATTCTTCTTCTGGATGTCCACAGATACATGTTATTTTTCTCCCAGCTTTTTGACTTATAAAAAAATTTTTTTTGAAAAACATCAGGTATTAAAGTACAGTTTATTACAGTAAAATATTGCATAGATTTACCGATTATACGACAGTTTGTGCAATGGACTGAATATGTACAAAAAACTTTCTTGTCCAATGCATATAAGATTTTCTCCATAATTTCCAACAATGTCAATGCAGTAATCTTCATTAAAATGTCTGAAATGTTATGATGAAGTTCAAAAATAATTTGTGTAATATAATTAATATGAATTGATTCTTGCTTACTCTATGTCTCTTCTCAAAACCACATCTCCAATTTTTAAATCAAATAATTCAACAGATAAAGTAATATGTTTTTTTCTTTTCGTAATAGAGCTTATACAAGCATTCAACACAGATTTTTTTGAATCTGCTGTGTAATTGACTATGTGGAATGTTTTGATCTTCTTTGTGACATCATCTTTACACTTGGATATCGAACATTTCTAGAAATAAAATAAACAACGAAACACTATTGATTCCATTCCAATATTTACATTGACACTGATGAACTTTATGAATAAGATGATTACTGTTTTCATGGTGATGAGGCCATTATGACAGTTCCAATAAATGAGTTCTCCATTGTCTGTACAGCCTATAAGAGTACTTGAATTTTCAGGTGACAAAGTTATGCCAATAATTTTATGATCAGCCAATTCGAATTCTTTAACAAAGTCAGATGTCGTGGTACTGTAAGCTCTGATGGCATGCTTCCATACGACGTACAGAGTTCTGTAGAATATCTCGTGGGATGATTAGTTGTGGTTAAAAAATGATGTTCATAAAGCTAAGTACATATAAAATTCAAAACTTACTCTCCATCACCGGAAAACAAAGGTTTCTGATCGATTATGCTTCCACCGCCTTTTCTTTTTAAAATAAACTCATCCATTTGTTCCACCGATGGCTTTATGCTTTTCTTCTGCTTCGATGTTACTTTAAGAGTCATTTTGATCTACGTTGTGTCTATTCGCACCAACACTCTCGAGTTAAAAAAGAATTTGTTACACTCAACGTTTGTTATTACTAGTAAATAGAGAGTAAGTTTTTACATTGTTTATATAGCGAACACGTGTTTCACTATACTTTCACTCGTTTAGGGTGAGATTACATGGAGTCTGGCAGTCTGCAGACTGGCAGAATCGCGCTAAGTTTAAATTATGTTTAAATTATAACATCTCAGAATAATTTAGTAAAATAAAGAAAAAATTGTAATTAGTGTCATAACAGAATAAAAGCTTAGTTACAATCAATTTCATTTACAATAAAACGTGTCAAATATTATTTTATAACTTTTTTTATAGATTTATGTTAACATCGCACAGTCGGTCAGTAGGGTCACTGATGTAACCTGGTATGTATAACAATATGTAACTGTGACAAAACGTTTTTCGTCGCCTTTTTTTTCATAAATATTAGTTAATACAGAAATGCAAATGTATTACGATAATTATTTCTTTGCATACGTAACAGGTTTTAAATATTAATATTGAAACATATTTTAAACTTAGCGCGATTCTGCCAGTCTGCAGACTACCAGACTCCATGTAATCTCACCCTTATGGCCTTATGGCTGTATTCCGCAAATTATAAGTTATACGTATAGGTCGTGGTAACGCCGCATGGTCGGGCGGCGCTAGCGTCAATCTGTACTAATTGACAAACTGACTGTCGGAGTCGGATCAGTCGGACCGACAGTGTCGGTTGGTTACTGCGGGTTCCGCTGTTCCGCATATCAACAAACTTCGATATTTTTTGCTGTTTTCACTCCCATGCCACCCGATATTTACTTTTGGAGGTCGATTTTCGGGTAAAAGATTAATTGTATACTTGCCGCAAACAGCACAGACAATGTCAAATTTTTATATAACCCATCTGTTGGTTTAGTTGTGGCTGATTTATAGATTTATAATTGATGATTACATGGCTCTACTATATGTGTAGTAATAATTATTTGGATCAGCGCCATCTATCGGTATTCATTTTTTCGCGAAAAGTGGCCTCTAGAATTCTGAATCAGAGATTCAGAGCTTTAGTTAGGGCCTAGCCTAGAGCCGTGTAATCAATTATTTAGGAAATTGATCGAAAATAAAAAGTTAACATTGTCTGTGCTATTTGCGGCAAGTTTATAATTTATCTTCTAACCGAATGTCTACCTCCAAAATTTTAAATATTTATAGGAGGTCGACATCCCCATAATAGAGGCTATCAGCTTTCGATCGTCATGAAAAACACCCGATCATCGACACTGACGACCTTGGCCAGAGCGCCATCGAGTTCATCCTCAAGGTCGAGCTTGACCTTGTCGGCGCCACGCCACAGGTGCACCAGGGTGGCGTTTTTCTCGCACATAACAACGCCACTCCTGGACAAAGATATAACCTCGAGACTTTAGTTACGCCCGTTGTCGTTTTACTTGACTCGACTATTTGGCAACAAGCACAACTGTTCATCGTCATGTTATTATTCACGATAAATTGGAGCGGGATCGATTAATCAGCTGCATGGGCGGCGTTGCACGAGAGCATCGCTGCCTATATATATACTCCCTTACTCTTGTGGGCTGATGACTAAACTCATCATTGTTGTCACTCTCGAACCTTTTTGAATTTGTGACAAACGAAACATAAAAATCAACGGCAAGTTTACATAAAACAGTTTCGAAAAATAAATTAATTAATCCTGCATACTTAAGGGAAATTGTTTTTTTTCTTCTTAAACATAGTCAATTTAATTATTATTTACAGTTTCTTTACCTGTAAGTAGAATGTATATAAAAGAAAAAATATAATAATAAATTAGGTCCGGGAAAAAGTATTTGTCATACGACACATGTTATTTTTAATAATCATAATGTTACAGATGTAGAAAAAGAAAACATTCCAAAACTCAAGGACCTCTCATCATAACAAAAAAACACATGCAGTAAACAAGAGTATGGTATGCATACTACGGTCTCACAATCGTAATTTTATGTAAAAAAAAGTAATTAGTATATATTAAACATTAAAAAAAAATGGTAACACGAACTAGTAACTAAATATACACAATATCTATTTATTGTCAATACCATACAACAATTCTTTTAACGAATCATCGTTAATGGTTTGAAGTGTGGAAAGATTACTGTTATTATCACTAAAATTTCGTTGAATATCGTTACAGTCTACCTGAACGGCACTTGGGCTACTATTTTCAAGGGTAGAAAAACAATCTGTAACATCCGAAGTTGCGTTTTCTTGACTGTTAACTGGGGAAGATAGCCTCAAGTGTTCCATTTCAGTGGAGGGTGAGGACACTCCATTTTCTAGAGGAGACATTACCATAGAAAAGAAGTCATTAGTATTGTTCAATTGATCGTTGTTTGGCAATTTTTCGTAATTTACTTCATTCGCTGAAGAATCATTCCATAGATTGTTCGTGAACTCATTATTGACTTCTTTCACTGCAAAATGCTTTGAAATGCTGTCTTCCAGAATACTAGCATTGTTTCGACAATCGGTTGTTTCTTTCCACACGCTCTTTTCTTTTTTATCTTTTTCTATATTGATAACTTCGACAGACTTGGGTTCACTGTTCTTGTACTCCATTACAGCAGTCGAGTCTTGACTCCAAATCCTCTGTATGAAATCATTCGTGTCGTTTGAGTCACTTTTATTGACACTTTCGTCATTGCTGTGGCCATCCTTTCTTATCATTTCGGGTTGATCCTCGTTGCCACCAGCCACAACGTATTGACTTTCTTTACTTATTTCAGATACCTCCATGTCTTGACCTCTCTCCATTGAAGTTTCCGACGTTTCGGACGTAACTAGCGGATTTTGCGAAAAAACTCCCGGTTGCTGTACTACTGTGTCAGCAGGCTGTTGATTGCACTTGTGAGTTCTTTGACTGACCTATTAAACGTATAGTTGACCATTTTTTGTTGAACTCTTCGTTAAGTGAAAGACATGGAAAAAAAAAAAAAAAAAAAAAAAAATTACCTTGTACCGAAAGTTTTTATCGCACGCTGCGCACTTGTACGGCATGGCACCGGTGTGGATGCGCTGGTGAACCAAATACGAGACACGCTGCCGAAAACTTTTTCCTGTACATAGTGACAAACTTTTATCACGGGGTATCAGCAAGCAACATTTTTTCATTAATAAAACATGTGCGTGAGGTAAAGCAAAAATTGGCAAATCATGAAAGGAACCACAACTCACCGGCAATGCTGTTATATGGGTACATATTCTTTTAATAGAGCACACTCGCAAAGCTTTTTACACACTGTTAACGCACCTAGGAGCCGTGGTAATGATACACGGACAAAATAAAAAAAGGTACAACAAGAAAACACAAAACAGCGTCAACCGACCCCGTACCACACGTTTCGCAGGCAAACGGTTTTTCACCCGTGTGGATCCTCTCGTGGTTGTGCAGCGTCGACAGTTCCTTGAACGACCGGCCGCAGGTGATACACGAGTGCGGCTTTTCGTCCTTGTGGTACATCCTGTGCTTGTAGAAGGATTGCTGAAACGTGAAGGTCTTGTCGCAGATGGTACACTTGTAGGGCATTTCCCCCGAATGGAGCCTCTTGTGCTTTTTGAGGAAGTACTTTGTGGTAAATTGTTTCGAGCACTCGTCGCACTCGTACTGTTTGCCATCGTGGACTTTCAAGTGCTGAGCGACATGCTGTTCCTACAAATACGAAAAAGAAAAAAAGAAACATATCGTACGGGCCGTTAATACACCGTGGTGAGACATATGCGAGTAAAAAAACCAATACTTTTTTAAAATTTTTCCCGCAAATTGGACAATTGTAGCCGCCCTCGATGTCGGGAGCTTCGGAATCCTGTTCGTTGCCACCACTCTCCTGCTGCTGCGCATTGAGTTCTGAGTAAAGAAAAATCACGTTAACCCGGCGATTCTTCGACAATACGCACGTAATTGAATGTATATTAAACCTCTTCTGATCGCTGCACTGATGTTTGGGTGGGCAACCCTCATGTGCACCATGAGACTGCCCCGCATCTTAAAGACCTTGGCGCACAAGTGGCAGGGATAATTCTTCGTGGCGGTCTCGGGTGTGGTTTTCGCGTCCTTGGCCCTGATCATGTGCACGAGCTGCTTGTGCAGCGTGAGAATCGTGCGATCGGGAAAACTGAAGCCGCAAACGTCGCAGCGCTCGGTACGCTCGGCCGCCGTGAGTATCTGCGTCGACTTGACCTGGGGCTTCGGTCTCGGCGGCTCGTCCCGGGACCGCGGCGACATCGGCGGACTCGACTCCGGCTTCGAACAGTCGAACGACTCGTGATACGTTCCCAACGGCGACGCTGCGATCTGGGAGTTTTTGACGAGATCGGCCAGCCGATCGGTATGCGAGGGCGGATACTCGCTCCGCTTCGGCCCCTCCGGCCAGGAGGCCTGGAAATTTCATTCGACAAATGTTGTAAGCGTTGCACAAGAACACGCATCGAGGAGGAACATCACCGTCACCACCTGGATGAAGGACTCCTTCCCGGCCTTGTCGATCATCCCGTTCACGGTGATGACGACGTTAGCTTGAATCGGTCCGCCGTCGTCCCGATCCTCCACCTCTGGGGCATCCGTTGTGGCTATCGTTTGATATATACCCGGTGGCAGCTGGTCGTGGGGATCGGCCTGGTTGATGACGCCCAGGATCTTGGGCTGCGCCGCCGTAACGTTCTGCAGGAAGATCACCTGGCCTGGTGCCTTCATTCCATTACCATGCCCCTGGGGGCCAATAAAAATGTATAATATAAAACACACAAGATCGCGCGATCAATGGAGACAATATTATACCTACCTGTCCATTACTCGCTGGTACAACGACACTGGCGTCCTTGGTAGCGATGGACGTGAGATTCCTAAAGTTGTCGATGTCGTCGATCGGTATGTAGATGCCGCTAGTCCCGGGGTCGTCCGGGTGCCTGACCGCGGCGTTTTCGTTGTTCCCATCGGCAGCCATAGTCGTGCCGAGGAGCGCGCTGTTCCAGGCCTGGGCGCTTCGGACTTGGATCAACTTGGCGGCCGTCTCGGTGGCCGAGGGGTTGCTCATGGCGTGGCTGAACAGGTGTATGGTGAGCTTGTCGATGCCGAGGAGGACCTCGTTGCACACGGGACAGGCGAGGGGACGCGTGGCTACGCTGACGAGGCCGGCGCGCAGGGCGTCCAGGGTCAGGAAGCCCGGCTGCGAGCACAGGGGACAGGCCAACAGTCTGGCGCACATTTTGCTCGCTACTGCCGTACTGTCGTTTTTCTTCGGCTGCATGTCTTTTTTTTTTTTTTTTTTTTTTTCTTTTTTCTCTCGTTCATCGACACCCAGGACATTTAATTATTTGTCCCGACCATTGGGTGCTTTATTTGCACTTTGCATTGTTAATTTGTCCACGCGCACCACAACGGGGACGTGGGGGACTTTCTCTAACAATATCTCGCACCCATCGATGAGATCAACAATAAATTAATGGCATCCAATAATTAACACAAGGGTTATTTGTTTTTTGTTTTTGGTTTTTTCTTCAACCACAGAAAGAGGCGCGACAGAGTGCAGTTACCGTCGTCGCAAGCTCACGTATTCTTTTGTTCGAACGATGATGTTATGATATACGTTACATCCGCGTGAAGCAGGGGAGCCGATCAAACAGATGGCTCGGCACGCACACGCGTCACGAATACACATGATCATTATTTATCCACCGGAGCGCAACCGAAAATTCCTCGGGGCTACATTTTCACCCGAGCCGAGCACCACTTTTATAATCGTTTTCCAACGCCTCAGCCTTTTTTTTCCTCTTTTTTTTCCTGCGCGACAGTGGACCCCCGAACCAACTGCCCGGTCCGCCAAAGCTCGTCTGGCTTCTCGTGCGGTATATATCCCTCCGAGAAGTTTTTGCAGTACAACATCTACGTAGGTACATGTGTTATTTTCGGCGCCGCTTATTGCTTGTACGAAAGCTCGAGCGGAAAGCAAGGAAGACAGAGAGAGAGAGAGAGAAAGAGAGAGTTAGCTATCAAACTCCGGGCGCGTATAGTACACGCAATAATACAATAGCCAGTGGCTAGTTGTCGCGTAAGAGTACGTTTTATTGCAAGTGGTGCTAGATTGTTTATATACTTTTATGCGTGAGAAATTTGGAACGGGATCGTTGATCGGTTGACAGATAATTGAGCAAGTACCGCATTATTTTTTGCTGATGGCCGGACGTGGGCAGCTTTGCCGCGAAGTTGACAGATTTTTGCGGCCATCGAGTGCGTATGACCCTCTTGAGGCTTTTTTTTTTTTTTTTTTTTTTCAAAAGCGCGTGAGTGTGTGCGAGGCACGTTCTAAATACGAAGAGGAAAAAAAAAGAAAGATGTGACGGTTCTACGTATTCTTGGCCGCTGGTGCCGTTTAGCTGGGCCGCGGAGGGATGCTCTTCGTCTGTGGCTATAATTAGAGGCTGAACCGTTTTGGAGCCTCGGTGCGCGCGTTTATGTATTTTGTTCAACAGATTTGCTACCGGAGAGCAGAATGAAATGAAATAGGAAAAAAAAAAAAACACGAGCAAAACGCAAATTACGAGTGCATTTTGCGGCATGAGTGATTCCTTTTTTTCTTTTCCCTTACCTTACACGATATGTGTATGTGTACGCTTATAAAGTTGGAAACGACTAGTGTTGGTGTAAGCGATGCATGCGAATTATTTTCAAATGTTTTTTATAACTCTTTTTTTTTTTTTTCTTTCATCAGGAGATAAAAAAAATATTCTGATTAGTGAAAGTGTGAATGTAATTTTTATGGAAAAATCGTTATAGATCGGTTGAAATTAGAAAACTAGGTTTTAGAAAAGATTTTCGTTTATTTAGACAAAATCGGACGTCAATGTGTATATGTATGTATATGTTATTTCATTTTTTTTTTCTTCATCGAACCTTACTTCCACAAGTTTAGTATAAAAAATAATAATATGTGTTCTAGATAGACAGGACTCGGCTTATACGTGAGGACACTTGTATGAATTGCCATCTTTGCAGCAGTATTCACGTCCGGCAGACAGATTCGTGTTGATCCATTCATTCTTGCAGTTTCTAATGAACAAATGTGCCTGGACAAATAATACAAATTGTCAACTAACGACTCTTGAAATTTTGTTGTTAAATTGACTATTTTTTTTTTTTAATTTAAAGATTTCTCAAGAAAAAAATGAAAATTCGAATATTGAAGAAAACACTTGATAAGTGTAAGAAAATAAAATATGCTCGATTTATACTATTTAAGGAAAGTTAAAAATATTTACTCACTTTTTCTTTAAAACAGTTTCTATCTATAGACGCACACAAGATGCTTGAACTTTTGGGTAAGTATTTTACGATCTGCAAAATTAAAAATCGGTTATTCTGTGAAATGTTTGGAAATAATATAATTAGGACTGGTAATTATGAACAATTACTTACATTTTCCAAGCATTTGTGCATGCACAATTTGTTGCCGGCGTTTGTACATGGAAATTTTTCAGGTTGCTCGAGAAGAAGGGATGGATTTTCTTTAGGCTGCTCCTTGGTTCCCTTGTTGAATTGACCACTTAAAAATACTCCACAGGAGCACCCAATAGCAGTAGCTGCTGTAGTTGTAGTTGTTGAAGTTGTGATTGTGTCAGTAGATGGAGGTGGAGGAGTCGAAGGCAGATAGATTTCAGTCGTTAATTCATTACTGGTAGCACTTTCCGATATCACGTAATCTTCGATGGCATGCACAAATGTACATGCCGTTAATATAAATAGATACACAGAATAAGTGAAATACATAATAATCTGCAAAAGAACACAGTATAGTTCAAATAATTAATTGATCAATGTGTAGTTCAAACAGTAGCCAAAGTACCTACTGTACTGGTCAAAGAATGTTTAAGCACTGGTGTGTCGAGCACAACAGATTTTCTCGAGTCTCATTCTTGCTTAATCCTTCTACAGGTAGTTGTTGAACGAATGACGAAATCAATTAGTATGAAAAGAAGAGTGCTGTACTTGCAAAATTCTAAAAGTCTGATGTAATGTTCACATTCACATGTACCTTAAAGACCTACTTTTTATATTCACAGTTTTGTCGATGTAATCTAAATTAAATTAAAACTTTCACAACTCAACTAATAAAAATTTAACTTGGTATTATAAATAACCTATTTTGTAAATACAATCTTTTTTGTTTTATTCGGATTTGTGACTAATTTCGCTTCACCTTCCATGACCACTCGCTCGGAATTCGCCACACAAGTATATTTGCATTTAACTATTTTTCTGACAGAGGTGATTTCCACGGAAATCTCAACAGTGTCCCCAACATAGCAAGGTTTTGGATATCTTATGATCTGTTCCACGACAACTGTTCCAGGTCCAGGCAACTTGGTGCCAAGAATCCCAGATAGCAGCCCATTCAAAAATGCTCCATGAACAATGTTTCTTGTAGAATGGATGTGAATAGGATTGTAGTCATTGGTCAGTTTCGCAAATCCAAGAACATCGTCTTCTGTTATCGTTCTTTGGATGGATACTCTGTTGCCAATTTTAAGATTTTCCAGAATGCTGCTCGTTGCATCGGATCCAGACGACACTTTTGTGCAATATTTTTTTGCAGATGCAAGCATTGTGCGCAACATCTTTGTTTTTCTCATTGCTTCACACTTGAATAATGAAACTTCTTACTAAGCAATACTTGACGAGATTGTACTTGCTGCTGTGTCTGTAGTTGCAAAATGTTGTTTTTTTTTACTGTTGCTAGTTTTCAAGCTTACGCTTTTACCGGCACTTGTATCGAAACTTGTACTTGCTCGATTAAGTCTTTGTTTTTTTGGATTTTCGACAGTAGTTTCAATAATCCTCTTGGCAGGCGTTGGAGTTTGATCTATATTACAAATACTTTTCAAAAAAATATTTGCTAAATTCCTAATGCGTGGATTTGTACTTTTAGATAATACCACCATATGATTAATATTTTCACGCGATGCAATGTTTTGCCTTGAATCCGGAGTATCCAAATATATCAAAGTTGTTATTGCTGACAATACTATTGACTCTCGATTACTGGATAGCAGAGAAGAAATTAATTTAACTCCACCGATTCTCAAAATATATTCTCTGCTCAGTGGTTCTGTAAACAAGAGAGATAAGTAGCACTTGACAACACAGTTTATTTGTGTCATATATGGTACGACTGGTACCAGTCGTACCTATACATATAATGGAAGCTACCTGAATGTGTAGGTAATTATGAATATGTATCACTAACCTAAGCATATATTGCAGATCCCAGCAATGGCAAAGGAAACAATCTTTTTATTTTTTTCCTCTAGCCCAGAGAAAAAGAGGTCAAGGACCTTAAGTCTCCAGAGATATTCGTAGTTGACCGGATCGTAAGCAAAATTGGCCAAATTGGCTATCACCTGCTCCTTGGCTTCTAAAAATACACCACAAACATGACATAACAACGACACCCACTAAATCTCACCACAAACTTCTCGTTTCTACATCTCTTGCAAGCTTCAGCTACACTTAAATCAAATAGAGGAAGTACATCTGTGTACAGCAATAAACGAAAAAGCAATACCTTGGATTTTCGTCGCGTTGTATTCGTTGACTAACTGCTGAAGAAACGAGAAGCGTCCGACCCCATGTTTCCCAGTCTTCTTTATCAGCTGCTTCTTGGTCGAGAACATCGCGATTTATTCAGATTTTCCACCGATGTCATTTCTATCTCTATCTATCTCTTTCCCTTTTTCTCTGCACGTGCGCCTTTCGTTCCCTTATCCCTTACCCCTTATACCCCACGCGAACACAACAAAATAGCTATATCCTTTTGGATGGAAAATTTGTGCAGTTATTGCAAAAAAAAAAATATTTTCCCTACACCCTCTGCGAACAGAAAACTCACGAGTATTTAGTTTCACGGTTAACTATATTTTATTGAGTTGTTTACGATTGTTGCTCAAACCACCCGCACTCCGCGCAAATAGACAAATTAGAGAAGCAGTAACGGTACGAATTTGCCCTCTGTTTACATAATATTAATATATTACAAATGTGCGGGGGTGGATTCGCGTGAGACGTGGTGCCACCTGCCGTTGATAATGTCATGGTCTGTGTTATCGATAGATCACGTATCTAATTAAGTGAACAAAATTTAAACGTGAATTCGAAGAGTTTGACAGATCAATTTTTAATTCTCGTTTCTTGGTGGATTATTCATTATTTTTTTGTCTGTTCCGAAGTATAAGGTGCGAGATCTTTGCATCGATTTAATCTAACGGATTTACGGTTGCTCGTAACGCTACACGCACTAGTTTCGAACGATTTAAATATTTACTCATCGTCTGAAATAAAAAAAAAAAAAATAACGCCAGTAAGCCACGAGTTTTCCTGTAAAGTGCGTGGAAGTTTTGTTAAAATACTTAAAAGTAATATATACCGGTTCATTTGTAAATAACGATAGATTTTTCAATAACTGTGTAATTATAGTGAGCATACGTACGTAAGTTGCGAAGAAAAAAAAAAAAAAAAAACGAGTGAAGCGAAATAAACAAAACAAATTTTCGAAGATGGAATACTTAAACAGCTCGCAGATATCCGAACAGATGACTCGTAAGTGCTTAATACAATAATATTAATAATGTCAGTGTTGTGGGCGAGGTTTTTTTTTTTTTTTTTTTATTTATTTCTCATTTTAATGCTTTTTCACAAGTTTACGAGAACAAAATCAAAAGTTGGAAAGATAAAATCAGGGCTGAGCTGAAAATCCGACAAAACCTCAAAGAAAAGCTTAGTGAGGCGAAAAAGAGAGAAGCCACGCAAATATTGATGTTGGAGAGGTAACTTTAATAATTAAATGGATTGAAAAAAAAAAAAAAAAATTTGAAGCCATTGAAAATGTTGAATTTTCCAGACTAGACGAGTATGAGGAAATTGTGACTAAACAGCTTGAATTGGCCGAGAAGATGGAAGACAGTGAATCAGTAAAACAATTAGCCGTAATAGAAAAATACGAGGGCATGCTGCGAGAGCAGCAGCAAGTTTGGGCTCAATATGAGGTGTGTCTAAAATCATTCCGTCAGTCTCGAAAGATTTTTTTTTTTTTCTAAGTATATTATTCGATAAATTAGTTTTTCGATTATTTACGACTTGCTTTTATTTTTCTCGTTTTCAGGAAGAGTACGAACAGTTGCCGCTGGCCCAAGAAAGACAAAAGGCCGAGCTCCGCTTACTGAAAGTCAGCATACAAAACGACCTAGTTATTTACAAGCTCAACGAAATCAACAAAATGATAAAGTTGGAGGAAAAAGTTAACAGACGGCAGGAACAGCTCAAGATAATAGAGCTTGCAAAGCTGTATCTCGATCACAAGAAAAAGGAACGGTATTGCTCCGAATTGATTTCTACAATACAACACCTCAAGCTCGAGGAGGAAAATTTGAAACAACAGGTTGGTTACAACTATACTATATTGTTTATACTCATTGATTCATGTTATTTAATTTCTAAGGTAAAAGACGCGGAAAGACAAGCCGAAGAAACGGAGAGATTGAATCCCACGACCAGCAAATCGATAAAATCTCAGCAGCTGCCAAAAGTCGATCTCTCCTGTTTCATAATTCGAAGGGACAACAATAATTACAACAATTACGGTGCGCTCGCCAACCTTTGATCAAAAATTCGGTTATTCATTGATTTTTCGCTGTCGTTGCTTGTGCTTATCACAGTTTTTAAATTATCTGCCAATAGACACAGTTTCGATCAATTCCTATATACTGGAGCAAGAGTACATGAACGTCGAAGAGCCGGCTAGTCAATCGTCTCAACCGGAGCAACAGTTCCAGCACAAAAAATTTGGTAAAACTAAACAAAATGCTACTATACGAGGGTGGCATTGTAAAAGTATATTGCACCTGTGATTTTTAATGATACTATACCCTATACAGTAGGTGAAAGTCAAGAAAGTAATTTCGAGTCGATGGATTTAGACAGAGCAACGAAGCGACCCGATGGGCAACAAAATACATCTGCGGGTGGGGGAACAATCAACGACTCGAGGATGGATGTCGATGAAACGGAGACCGACAATCAAGCTGCTGATAAATCGAAGCAGCCGCGGTTGAACCACGTAGCAAGCGTCAAAAATTTTGAGCGCCACGGCGAGTCAAATTCATACGTAAGTGCACCCGTAAGTTTTTTTGCATACTGCATAAGCTCTAACGTGAAAAAAATCTCATTGCAGATTCATTGTAAAAAATCGAGCCAGGAAAGCCAACCGGAAACTCATGCCAACGAAAAGAGAGAGACTCCACAAAAACGAGGTAGAGTATATTTACAGCAAGAGTCAGCGATTTATTATTCGTCGCACCTTTTTCATTTCCTTCTCCCGAATGAAATCGAAGCACACAACGCTTGGATAAAGGTCGATTGAAAAACTTTTATTGCAGTGAATCAGCGAAAATCGTCGCAAGAAGAAGCGCCAAACAGTAGGGGCTTCGTCAGAGTCCCCGAGGAGCGCATCAATTACTCGAGCCCCTACCACCCCGTTCAGGAGAGGCCCGTGCCCTCACCCGCTAAATTGCAAAAACAATCTTTCGAATCGCCCCAACAGCAGCATCAACGAGAATCGTTTTCAAGAACCGACGCGAGAGCGATATTCAACAGCAAAGACCTTGCGAGACTTCCGCAAGCGAGTCCTGGAGCCAACAGGCCACAAATGTTCAAGCTGAACGACAGTGTTAGTAATTTCGAACAGCAGTAGGCAGAAAAATGTATTTGCATCTCAACTAATCACACGGTTTTATTCGAATCTATAGCTGCCGCATCAAAACCAAACGCCTAACGTCCAGGCAGCACCGGTTGCACAATCGTCCCGAGAATCGTCTCAGAATACCAGTGCTCTGTTGGATGCGCAAATGCCGAGGCGTCCGAGCCCGATACCACAACAGAGCTTCGTTTTTATGGACAACCAACAGCAGCAGCAGCACCAACAACAACAAATGACATCCAATATTAACAGCCCAAGCATCGTGACCAACAGTATGCTGAACATGACAATGAACTCTTGCGACGTAAACATGTACGCCGACAACATATCGGCAATCTTGGGCAGCGAGATCACAGAGCCGGGTGGTAGTTTCGAGCTCGTACGGCGTTTGTATGGAGGTGAATTTTTTTTTTTTTCAAATGATTTCCTTTTTTTTACATTGTATTTGACGTTTCCGTGTTGATTGTTCAAAGACTCGGACTTGAATTCCGAAGTGAGCGATCTGGAGTACGACAAAATGATGGAAAAGTTATTCTCGCCCATTCCATCGAAAGCGAAAAATCAGCCAGAGCAGCAGCAGCAGCAGCAGCAACAACATCGACCGGGGCACGCGATGAGCCAAGCGTCTCGGATCAGTTTGAATAGCAATGTTCCGATCTCGGAATCTCAAGAACAAGGTACACGAAATTTTCTTACGATTGATTTTAAATAGAGAGTGGTGGTACAGTTTTCCGTTTTTTTTTTCCATCAGAAAAAAGTTTTGCGCTCACTGGATTCAAGAAATCAACAAAGACAGCAAAATCTTTGTTCTGATGACACGCCAACTACTGTGAAAATTTTCTTTGGTATTAAGTTTAAAAGATAAAGTATCTTGTGAAAGTTGAATAATAATCATAAATAGTATTGCCAAATGAATTAAACAATCACAAGATTCAATTAGGACTGACACAAGTAGGTACTTTAAATACATTTAATGGGACAGTAATGATATAATTATAAGAATAAACACCCTTAAACACGTGTGTATTGCCCTTTAATTAGTGGCTCCATTGATATTATGAATTATAATGTTCTTACTTCAACTAATTATTTAAAACAATGTACGACTCGGTCATTTTAATAAAACGAAGAAAAAAAAACTTATCAACCATCCCCATGGGCTTGTAGAGGAAGTAAGTTACATGACTAGCATGTTCAACGCAATGCCATCGTTCGTGAACGACGAATAACCATTACCATCACCCTTTTCTCGCCAAGCGACAATTGAATGAAAAAAATGATGAAGGAAGAAGTAAAACAGCCGGTCCGCGGCTAAGCGAGAGCCACCCGCACGTGGAGGCTCCGTCACGATCTTTCCGAGTTTTTTCAATGAGACGGTAGTCGGAAGCAGACGCGGCACGTCAATAACAATAATACATACTTACATGTGATCCACAGCCACCGTTTTAGATTAAATTAGTCGCTTCGGTAAGACGATACGCACATCTGCGAGACGCGTGGCGATGCCGATTTTTCCCTTCAACTCTTCGCTCATCGCAATGTTAAGTGTTCGCGTATGCGTGCAGCGCGTGGCAGCTTTTACATGTACTCGTATATATTCTCTTCCTTTTTCAAGATACTCGTAAAAATGCTCATTTACGTACCACATGACACTGAGAATATCGTTATTTCGAAGAGCATCGAAAGAAAAACCAAAAAAACTTGTAGGAGTTAAGAAAATATTCACTATAATCTAGAACAAAGAATGTTTGTGTGTTGAAACACGACAACATTTCGTTACATCAAAATCATCGTTTTCTCGTTTGAAATAAATTTACCCTCGTGTTTATCATAGTTGACGGCACAAACATTAATTTACAAAGAAGTGTACAGGCATGCACTTATACATATACACATTAAACCAAATTGGAGGATACTCTATTTTTGCATACCTCCCATCATGCAAAAGCAAAGAAAGGAGAGATGTTTGTGAAGGATGCTCTTTCGAAATACAAATACTATTTTTGTTTTGTTTTTGTAATTTGCAAACTACGCCATTTTCTTAATGCGTGCCATCACCCCCTTTGCTCTTGTATGAAGCCTTGGGCTGCAGTTCCGGAGAGATGAGATGGGCTGCCTTGGAGCTTACATACCCTGTACATGCACGCGGGTGTAAGGAACGAACAACGCAATCTAGAAAAAAGATCAAGGAAAAACAAAGGTGGTGCAAAAACAGGGGGAAACAACGACCTGGCGCGCATGAGTATACTTCGCATCAACGTCGCATGGCTTTTACCGTATCCTCCTTCACGGCGCATTCCTCTTTAAATTGAAAGTATCGTGCAACACTTTGAATTTCTCGGGCACGTGTATCCGCGCTTTCAAAAACAACTTTGCATCCAAAATTCTAGGGGCAATGACTTTTTTTCCCAACATTCTTTACCAGAGCAAACAAAACAAAAAATCATCGCAGTTGGCTCAGTTGTAACTACAATCGTTTTAAACTAAATATTTTTTTATTTTTTTTTTTTATTTACACGTGAACGAGATCCAACTGCACGTAGTTGTAAAATTTCAAAGCACAACCGCTTCAAGTAGAAATAAAAGTCTTACCCTAAAATGAAAACGTATAAAATTTTACAGTTTTGATAAAAATGATTAAATGCACTCGCGTTAACAAGAACATCACGCAAAGTAGCCTCTTTTCGATAATCTCAATCGAAGAGAACAAAAAGGAAAAAGAAAAATTTGCTCTCATTAGGAAAACAATAATCCTCCAGCTGCTCGAGTCGTGAAAGACATCAAAACGAAGCCGGCGAGCGTCCCTCGTAAAACTTTTCCTCTCCTATACTTACAAGTGCATAGCTCCTCCCGCATATTGTATTTATTGTACACTCGTTCGTTGGAGCGGCACCTTCGCCAAAGGGTCGACACGTGCCGTTGGACCACAAGTATATAGGTGCATTAAAAAACGCCCAAGCACCATTGACGACTTTTCTCGGAAAACCGCCGTTCCGTTGCAAAAGTCGGTCGGATCACATCAACGCGGAAATACTCTGTATCAACCCCCCCCTTTTTTTTCCTCTTCTATGTCTCTCTCCCTTCCTCCCTCGGCAAGGCGATTAATTTTTCATTCATATTAATTAGCGCGACTATCCAAGAGAGATAGAGAAAGAGAAATATATACATATATGTACTTATTTACTAAGGAAGCCGTGACTCTAATGAGAGCTAATACCGCGGCGTCGACGATGATAAATGCATTCCCGTCTTGATAAATGGACATTTCTCTCTCCCCGGGTACCCGATGATTGCTGAGGGGGGGCTTACTTAGCGAGGAGCTTTTCCAAAGGTATACAGGGCTACATTCACCCAATTACAGCGTCTCACTCGAGAGTTTCGCCAGCAGCTCCAATTACTCATTTGTATATTGCTGCATCGCGAAACGTGTATATATACATATTATTTTGGCACCAACTTATTAACAAAAAACAAAAATGTACCCTTTGATTTGCACTTATAAAAAACGCCAACACGCGCTTTTGTCGCGAGGATGGTACACGCCCTCCCCCCCCCCAACTTTGTGCGTATCAACCCGCATCACATCCGCGAAGATTTGGGTGTCCGACCCACGTGTATGTACACTAAACACTTATACGGCGGCCCGTCCCCTTTTTTTCCAGCTTATTGTGCCCATATACACACAAGTCACGCGTCTCCTCCTCTTACTGTTGTTCCTATTTTACCATCGCGTCGTCGTTCCTGATGGTTTCTTTTTTTTTTTTTTTTTTTTTTCTCTTGGTCCGTCGTGTCGCTCCGTGTATAGGTATATGTATATATGTGCACATCGGCGTGCTTACCCATTCATGCGTTGCACTGGGAAAAAAGGGGATGGACGGAGGGACGCGGCTGGTATATAAAGGCCGATTGGCCGGCCGCGGGGCTTTTCAGTTCGGACGGGAGTCAGACGTGTACTTTGGGCAGCTGCTCGGAGGTGCGAGATGCGCTCGGTCGGGCGCCGCTGTGTAACTACCCTTTCGCCGATCAAATTTCATCGATTTGATTAGGAAAAGCCGAGCACGCGATTGGGATTGCACGAGGCGTGTGCAGGTACGCGGTTATACCATTTTTTTTTTTTTTTTTTTTTTTTCATGATTCGTATGAAAAAAGATAAACGATCGCGAAAACGCTCATTACATCCGATTTTCGGTTTTCATCAGTAGAAATCTCGGACGAGGGGAACGAGGCAATAGGTGGCCGATTCGACAAGGAGAGACGAAATAGAAGCAACGAGCCCAACGAGAGACGCTTCGGGTATAATATAGGAGCGGAGCGAGTAAGGATGATGCGGAGGAGTCGTCTCATCTTCGGGATGCTGGCGATCGCCGGGGGACTCTTGAACACGGCGATCGGCCAATTCGACTCGCCGCCACACATTATCGTCTTCATGGCCGATGATCTGGTAAGTGCCACCATTCGATTCGATATGTACTCCTATATTATGCTACTATATACTATTATCAAGTAATTTTTTTTCTTTCTTTTTTTGTTTTTTTATCCTCCTCTGACCAACGGGTCTCTGAACTCTCGTTAACGGGGCCGCAGTTATGTTACGTCGCCACGGCTTATTTAATTACCCCATGAAGAAACGACCGCTAGCTTTTTATCGTCGTTGTTTGATCACTTACGTGTCGCAAGCTCTTTCGAACAGTTGTTTGTTTGTTCCGTTCTAACTGCAAATAATAAGTATTTGTGCATATTACCCTTGAAAAACCAAAGTACCGACTTGTAACGTTATCCGTCACCGATTTCACGTATCGTAGAGATCGGTAACAAACATTAAAAAACAAAAAAAAGAAGAATTTTCAAAATAATCTTTCGTTTCTAATACAAAATCGCAGTGAAATTTAACGCGCTCGATTGTCAATAAATCGGTAAGCTAAATTAAAGCTACGGCACGGTACCGGTTTACCGAGATCTAGCGGTGGGAGGATACACTCTTCCGTTTTTTTTTTTTTTTTTTTTTTTCATTTTCAATTCAGCCAATCATGCTAATGATGAAAAAAAAAGACGGGAAGAAGGAATTAAATTAGATATATTATAAGATGGCTGATGTGAGAGAAAAAAGTCCAACAATTGAGGAACAAGAAGAGAGAGATGAGTAAGTCCGCAATAATAGGCGCTGGTGGACAGCGTACGTGCGGCTGTTATTTCCGCCTCGCTCTTTTTTTTTTTTTTTCCATAATACTTAATCCAATGTAATCGCATTGCTGCAACGGCAGCACAGCGGCACACAGTATATACACAGCTACGACAGAAAGGCCAGCGCGTCTTGAATTAATGTAGTCATTAGTTGAGACAATTACGGCAGCTAACGCGCCGTCTCTCCGTATACTGCTGATGATGGTCTTGAATTTCTGGGTGCATTCTATGTACACGTTGTACACACACCCATGTACATCGGCACAGTCGCCGATTTCTGACTCATAATATATGATGTGTACGCGCGTGTCGTACACTCGACACCACGAAATAACAACTGAAATTCCAGATACGTGTCGAATTTCATGCGCGCAGTTATTTTTTGTAAATTGAAAACAAACAAAAAAAAAAAAAAAATTTTCTAAAATTCCAAAGGGCTGGAACGACGTGGGTTTTCATGGCTCGACGCAAATACCGACACCGAACATCGACGCCTTGGCCTACAACGGGATCATTCTGAACAAGCACTACGCGCTGCCCTCGTGCACGCCAACCAGGGCGGCTTTTCTCTCCGGCAAATACCCCATAAGGATGGGTGAGTGCCGAATATTGCTAGGTAGAAAAAATAATAGCAACGATAATAATGACGATGGTGAAAAAGGTATGCAAGGAGCCGGTATACTGGGTGGTGAGCCCCGGGGGATTCCCTTGAACGTGCGCATTCTGCCCGAGTACCTGCAGGGCCTCGGCTACGACACGAAACTGATCGGCAAGTGGCATGTTGGTTACCACACGCCGAGGCACACGCCCACTCGCCGCGGCTTCGATTACTTCCTTGGTTTTTACAACAGCTACATCGGTTACTACGACTACCGTTACCTGCAGGGTGTGAGTGTCTTCTTTTTTCGCCAAAATAATAATAATAATGATAATAATAATAATAATAATAATAATAATAATAATAATAATAATAATAATAATAATGTTTTCCCCCGATGGAAAATAAACCAACCAACGACAACAGAACATGTCGGGCTTCGACATGCACGCCAACGAGAGCCCGGCCTACGGGACCGAGGGCCAGTACGCGACGGACCTCTTCACCGCGACGGCCCTCGAAGTGATAAGCCGGCACGACGTGCTCAGGCCGCTCTACCTCCAAGTTTCGCATCTTGCGCCCCACGCGCCCCTCGACACGCCCTACTACGGCATCGACAACGACGAGTTTTTGCACATCGGCGAGTCCAACAGACGAGCTTACGCCAGTTAGTACTCGGTTCCATACACATACATATTCACACACGTATACATTATAAGTTTCGATTTCATTGTTACCGATCATCAAAGATCGTTAGTCACGGCTGGCTTTTGTTTTTTCTTCCACCACTTACGCGATCCGGTACCAGTACCAATGATCGATGATCACGATGATCGTTATACTTTGTTATTATCCTCATTAATAGCTCCACTTGTATATAGACGCGTGGATCGAGATATCGGTATAATTGCTCGATTGTGCCCGTAATGCCCTTTCGGCTAGCTGTACCTATTACGTAACATAATCTGACATCCGTGCGTTGAATCGGCGCAGAGATGGTGGCGAGGCTGGACGAGTCGTTGGGCCGGATAGTGTCGTCCCTGGGTGACAAGGGCATGCTGAGGAACTCGGTGATCGTGTTCATGAGCGACAACGGGGCCGCGCCGATCGGCAAGTTCCGCAACTTTGGCTCGAACTGGCCGCTCCGAGGGGTAAGTGGTTGGCCCAAAAACCTGGTGGGTATGTGAAAAAAAAAAAAAACAAACCTTTTGTTGCCCTCCAGACCAAGTACACGCTGTTCGAGGGTGGGGTGCGCAGCGTCGCGGCGATCTGGTCGCCTCGGCTGATCAGCACGGCCAGGGTCTCGGACCAGCTGTTCCACGTGACGGATTGGCTTCCCACGCTGTACTCGGTGGCTGGCGGTGATTTGCGCGATCTCGGGCAGATCGACGGCGTCAACCAGTGGGACGTGTTGAGCATCGGGACCGGCCACGTGCGCGATCGGCTGCTACTCAATATCGACGAGGTCACCAGGACCGAGGCCGCCATCTATCAGCGCTTCAAGTTCGTCAGAGGTGAGCAACATGTGTACCTTTTATCTTTTTTTTTTTTTTTTTCAAATAAATACACGAATGTTAAAATAAAGTGCATGATCGGTACGGTCCGAATCTTTATTTGTTCCGACAGTAACGCGAAAACCGGCACTACAAATTTCAAAACCAAAGCGTACTTTTTTTCCAAACGATATAAATTAGATCTTTTGGATGGAAATCGATATTTTACATAATGGTGAGACGTTGTAATTGATCGATGGAAAAAAAAAAAAAAAAAAAAAAAAAAACGACGATCGTTCACAGGGTCGCTGTTCCGCGGGTACTACGACAACGCCGAGGGGGAGACGGGCCGCGGGCGTAACGCGCCGATCTACAACACCACGAGGATCCTGAAGAGCGCGGTGTCGGACGCCATACGCGAGCACCTCGGGGTACCGGTGACCCAGGAAAGCGGCATGTGGCACCTGCAGTCCCAAGCGACCGTACTCTGTCGGCCCAACATGACCAATCCGCACTACACCAATCGCTACTACGCCTCGTGCAACGAGTCCGAGTGCCTCTTCGATCTGAGCGTCGATCCCTGCGAGACCAACAACATCGCCAAGAGCTACCCCAGAGTACGTACACGCATCCTGTATACGTGGTTTCCCATTTTTGTTCCACAATCTTGTCACAGGGAACAGCATCCCCCTTTTTTGCGCACATATGCCTTGCAATTATTATGGAGACAATGACAAAAACGCTTGTTGTGACTTTGTTGCTTAGTGGGTGGCCGAGCTGGATCTGCTGATAAAGCAGTACAACACCGTGAAAATCCCGCAGCTGCGACTACCGGTAGATTACCGAGCCGATCCCAAGTACTGGAACTACACGTGGCAGCCGTGGCTGGACCTGTACGACAGCTACTACAGCTCGTACAACGCCGGGGCGGCCATAGGCACGGTGGCCGTGTGCGCCCACGTGGCCCTGTTTCTCGTGATTGTCGGCTTGCGCGTCTTCATCTGACTTCGCGACAACCCGACTTCGGCGATCCACCGGTGCGAGTTTTGCGGCTGCCGAGGGGAACGCGATGCTGATGACGATGAGCGCGAGGAGACGAGCGTCACCGATGCCAATTCCACGAGAGTGCATCAGGCATCGGAGCGCCGAGCGAGCGGTTGAGCCGATCCATAGGACTCTCTTGTTGCATTGCGTTTCATCGCAAAGGCGTGAAGAATCATTGGTGCGCGACTACAAAATGCTGCGTGGAAAATCTGGGCGATAATACTCGTCGCTACATGTCATAGGTTTTTCTTTTTTTTTTTTTTTTTTTTTTTTTTTATTTTTTTTT